TCTGTTCTCTGGCAGAGCCTGTTAGAATGTTAGGGAAATTCGCATGAGGATGGAGACGAAAACTTTAGAATTATTTTCCTTAAGCATGACACCGCCTATGAACACATAAAAGGGGCTAGATTAAAGGACAAGGAAGTAGCAGAATCCACTCAGGATGGCTTGGATGGTTTAGCTGCTATGCAGAGCAGAACTAGATTTTTTTTCAAAGTTCTTTCTAGGCTTTTTGAGCTTAAATTGCAGTGATAAACACACATACACCATCACTTAAAAGCAAAGACAGCTAATCATGGCCACACGTTTAGTCACATTTAATTGTCACATTTCAGAACATTTGAAAGCCCATGGTTGTCTTGGTACTTCCCAAAGGTGCACAGTAATTAGGGAAGCCATACTGTACCAAACTTTAACGCTCAGGAACACTGGATGAACATCACCTAGCAATGACATTATTTCAAAGAAAGCAGATGACTTCTCTCAATAAACAGCGACCCAAACAAGCAAGACATATTGGTCGACATAACGTCGCTTCCCTGTCAAAGCAAGCCTTCTGTCACTTTTCGATAAAGGATTGTACCAACTTCTCTCTCCACTTGAACTCTTTTGCTTTTGTGAGCTCTTATAACTGTATTTACTTGAAAGAAGTAGTAGGAAGGTCCTGGAGAGATAAGAACTCTCCCTTTATTACTCTGTTCTGGAAAACAGAACAGAAATAGGTCAGTTCTTAAGGAAATGATGGCTGCATACATAAATAATGTAAACACTCCTATCACTGTCCTGGGAGGACATTTATCACCCAGACAGCCACGGAAACCGACATCTGGCCAATAAACTGCTCCTGTTCTCAGCTCCCTGAGTGCCGTGTAGAAATGTTGAGTTGCCAATTGGAAACTTGATTATTATCAGTCAAAAATAACCAGGGAGCTCTGGCAATGATTGAACTCGTTTGACTTTCTTAAGCTAACAATTAACATTTTAGACGATTGTTGAGAAAACATTTAACTTTCCCATACTGTGTGTGCAAACGACTTTCCTAATATTCCTTAGACGCCCTGGTGGGCCCGCCTTTCCCGGGCTGCTCAGGTCCACGCTGAGGCCTGCGAGAGGTGTGCGTTCCGAGGCCCCAAATGCTTTGCTTCGCAGCACTGTCCCCGTGAACTCAGACTTTCTGGGACCTTCTGGAACACTTACGCACACCGATATCTCAGTCTTATCTCGACAGCACTGTATTTGCAACACCAATCCCTCTATTTACAATAAAGGCTATGTCCCCATCTCAAACACTCCACTGAGAGCCTAAGGATACTTTTAATCCCTGGAAAAACTGGTATTGGGACCTGCTGTTGCGTCGTTTGTTATTAGAAATACTAGCAGTCATGCCCTGCATTTTGGCAGTGCTTTAGTTCTCCCAAAGCCTGTTCGGAAACACACATTCATTTGCTTCTCTCAACAACCCAGGGCAGGGTTATTGTTCTCCCTGCTTTACAGATGACTGTTAAGTAGCTTGTCCTAGGTCACCCAGCTGGTAGTGATCAAGCCGGCACAGGACCGGGGATGCAGACCCCTCGTCTGATCTGCTTTCTCTCCTCCACACTACATTAGAGAAAAGATAATCTCCACAGCCAAAGATGGCTTGGAACCACTTATCTATCCATCCTAGCAACGGCGTGTGCAACAAGAAAAAAGAGCTTGTCTCGGGCAAAAGGGAAAGATGGATAACGCACCACGGAAGCTCACCCTGTGCTGTTCCGTGGACGGGCTATTACTCAGTTTTACAGTTCATTCAGAGACTCAAACATACTTCCCCAGCAAGTGATTTAGTGCCTACAGCCTGCTCCCAGTGGCTAGAAAGGCAGATCTTCTTTAAGCCCTACGATCCGGGCCTTCTCAAAGGCCCCGTTCCCGCAGTCCCTGCAGCCGTGGGGCTTCCCCTGAACTTGTACTTGAGCTAAATGAAGAAACTGGCTGAGTAAGGGCTGCAGAATTAGGCTCTCGATGTGGACGGAATTAGAACTGGCTTGGGGGTATTCTTGCATTGTTCTTGCATCTTGGGCTATTAAAATAGCTCAGGCATTGTATATTTCGTGCCATATAACACTCCTCAAAGTCAACACCATCTCGCGGAACAGAAGTTCCCCTTTCGCCATCATTCAGACACTAACTAGTATTACCTACTGCCTACAAGGCATTGTGCCAGCAGGTAGGCAGGGTACAGGGCTTTCGGCCGAGGACACAGTGCGAATCTGACTTGAGGTGATCAATATGCGCTGCCTTCCTCCAAAGGGTGTTTATGGCCACTTAGGAGACACCAATGAATGATTAAAGCGATACGTTCAACACACCCAGACGGAAATAAATCTGGTTCCGGACACTGCCGCAATACGGTGAAGAAGCCACTCTGACGCTTATTCTGCACAAGAGGCCCCGTTACATCCGGGGGAACTCAGAGGAGCAGGAGTGGAGTGAGACCTGCAGGCCCCATGGGCTCGGCGAATCACTCCCAAACGCCCAGACCCTTCGCACACAATGTTATCGGGTTAATAGGGCACTTGCATCACCAATCGCTGATTGCCATGCTGAGTAACCAAGCGCCAAATTTAGAAGCTAAAATGGAGAAGGGAATTTCCAGTAACCAAAGGGGCGTGGGGAATAACCATTGTCCCTTGCAATGCCACACACGTTCAAGGAAAAACAACTATTATCTTTTGACCCCTAACTCACACGGCCCCCTCTCATCACTCAGACAGGGCGGGCCCCCAGAGACGGTGTCAGGCGATGGCTGGCGGTCAGGAGAGAGAACACGGATTCCCGGGAAGACCAGGACGGGAACAGCGGCCACCTCTTTGGCTTCCGCAGCATCAAAGCCTTCAGTTGGGAAAGGCCAGACACTGCACTCTCACTTCCTCCCGCCGTGGATATTGCTAATCGCAAAGTTACAATCACCACTGAAGTTGGTTTCATTTCACATCCTTGAACCCCCAAGTGAAATAAAAAAGAAGAAAGAAAAAAAAGTGGGAGAAAAGCAAAAGCCAGGAGAACAAGGCCATGGGCAGGCGCACTGCCTCCCTCCCAGGGGCTGGGGTGCGAGGAGCACATCCAGGCTTGGCGCCCAGATCAGAGGTCAGTCTTCTCCCCGGAGCAGGGCCGGGCACCTCAGTCCCTGTCTCATCCCCAGAAACACTTACCAGGAGGCCGGGAAGCACACAAAGCCGTATTATTGGGAGCCTTGCAGACAGATTATAAATTTACTGGGGACAATCGAGGCATTTAGATACTTTTGGCTGCAGATGCTGGTGACACACACATGCATACAAACCTCATTCTTCTCGCCATTGGAGTGACTCTCCCCACTCCCCACCCCCACCTCACCTCAGCATCTCTCCTTCACAAAGCAAACTCCCCTAGCTCTCAGAGGGAATTCCACGGAGAGGTGGGGACAGAGCAGGTGGCAAGGAGACGACATTAGCCTTTGAAGCTCTAGCAGAGCCCCACAGACCGATCTTACTCAGGGATAAAGCAGCAAACACTGGGCAGAGTAGATGCTTGCAGTTATTTTTCATCTGGAGTCGGCGCCAGGAAGTTACAGTTCTGGGCATCCCAAGCAAAAAGCGTGTGTGTGTGTGTGTGTGTGTGTGTGTGTGTGTGTGTGGTGTCGGGGGAGAGCACCCTCCTAGTTCCCCAGTTTCTGGAAACCATCCCTACAGGGATAAGGAGGAGCCACAGAGGCACACGCTACAGCTGGTCTGTAAGGTGTCCTCTGCCTAGAGCTCCTTTGCAAACTCCTTTGGAGAAGTTCAACGCAGTGCCTTCCTTCCTTTGGGCTTTTTGAGTACTTTTCGGCTGGGCCTGGCTGTTTCCTGTTGCTGACTTTCATTAGGGCTGACTTGGGCAAACGGGAGCTGTGGTGTGGGCAGACCCAGGATGCAGGAGCCCCACAGAGCTCAGAGATGGAGAAAGCTGGTGGGGCCTTGGGGCCTTGAGGCCTTGGGGCTGCGGGCCGGCAGGCTGTGGGTCTGCAGGCTGCGGGGCCTTGGGGCTATGTGTGGGGCTGCCGGCTGCAGGATGCGGGTATGCGGGTCAGGGCTCCACCTTCTCCCCTGGGGCTGGTGGGGGAAGCTTGCACATGGCAAGCAGTCACCTGACCAGGACTGGCATGCAAAAACCAATGAGTCAAGGGATACTCCCTCTGGGACGGGGTGGATCTGTGCCTCCAAGGAAGACCTTCCCATCAGGAACCTGACCAGAACTTGCAGGTCTGATGTCCCGTCGGCACCAGCAGTGGCTTGAAGACAAGCCACTTCCCGGGATGACAGCTTGAGCACAGCCCCTCGGTGCCTGCCTACTGTAATGAACGCTGTCGTTTGTCACTGTCCACCCGAAGTGTCTATGAAAAAAAGCTGGGAGAGGGGGTTGGGGGAGGCGGTAGAGACTCAGGGAGTAGGTCTCCTAGAAAGATTGCCTCGCTGGTCTGGGATAGTCCCCTCCACCTTTTGTTTTGTACTGAGGGGATCCTCAGGGACCTCTGGATTGCAGACCACCACTTGGCTTCTCTGGAAGGGGCCCCCTCACAAGGCAGCAGGGGAAAGGGTCCGTTCCCTGATCCATGTTTTCAGGCTGAAGAGTGGCTGGTTGGGCCTAATCAGAGCTGACTAGCTGAAGCTGGCGCATCCCCGAGACCCTGGCTCAGCTCTTGCCCGCCTGTAGCCACCTCCGCTCTAAGGACAAGCTGAGGCCTCGCAGAGCCTCTGGAGAGCTCGGCTCCTCCCCAGGAAGGAGCACCCCGCACGTGGAGGAGCACCCGTGCGCGCTCACCAGCAGGACTTGCTGAGTAAGAGCATGAACCACAGGCGCAGCACACACCCCATGGCCTGGGCGGCAGGCAGGGGACACCATGGCCCTCTGCACTGCCGTCTCTTCCGCAGCCTCAGGCCCGGGCGAGCTCTCCCCTCGCACCAGGCCACACGACCACAGCCCAGAACCACGAGAAAACCAGGTAGCCTTACCGCAATCAGGGCCGAGTTCCGCTGGTCCCCGGGGGTGGACGCTGGCGCTTGCTGCTCGCCCTCGAGGCCACCACCGCTCCCGTTATTGCCGCTGCCGCTGAGCAGGTGCTGCTGGTGGTGGTGGTGATAGTCCGGCGGGGGCGGCGGGGCCCCTGAGGCTTGGGGGGCTGCAGGAGGGGCTGCGGGGGGCGCAGGGGCCGCGGTGGCAGCAGAGGCTGCAGCGGCAGCAGCGGCAGCGGCGGCGGCGGCCGTGGCCTTGGCGTGCTTGCCGGTCTTCCTGGCGCCCTGGCCGTGCTGCACGAGGCTCAGGAGCTGCAGGGTGCTCTCCCGCTCGCGGTCCGAGCTCTCGGCCCGGCCTCGCTCGTAGCGGCCCTCGCAGCTCAGGTGGTGCTGGCGGCACACGGCGATGCGCGCCCGCAGGCGCTCCACGATGGCGCTGTGCACCCTCGGGGCCACGGAGCCCCCTCCCAGGAGGCCCGCCCCGGGGGCCGCCCCCAGCCCTCCGGAGGGGGCCTGTGGGGGCGCTGTGTCCCCCATCTTCGTGGACGCAAGGACGGCTGCCTCCTCCGGGATGGTGGGGCTGCAGAAGGCGGCAGGAGCTGGCTATTCCTCCGGGCAAGTCTGTGCTTGACAATGCGGGCTCAGCGCTCAGGGCCACATGAAGAGAGGCCTTGCGAGGTTTGAAGAGGGAGGGGCGTTGGTTTAAAAAAAAAAAAAAAAAAAAGAGGATGAGGAGCAAGAAGAGAAGCCGGTGGCGGAGGAGGAGGAGCCGGAGAGGAACCCTGATCGGCTCGCTCTAAGGGCCTTTGACAGCAATGCACAAGTTGGAGAGCCTCAGTGGGGTTCCCCGGCCCCAAGAGCCACTCAGAACCTGGCCACCCCACAGCCTGGGGTTCCAGCAAGAGGACCCAGGGGGGTGCCGAGCCAGCCAGAGGCAGCGAAGGGGGCTGAGAGAGGGATGGTCGGGGAGCCGGTCCCCCCTCACCTAGTAGTTTCCCCACATTCCCGGTGGGGATGCTCCTGCAGAGACACACACGTTCCCACCACCGTCTGGGGGCCCCGCAGCAGCCTTCACTTTTCCTCGGGTTAAAAAAAAAAAAGCCGTTTCAGGAGGTTTCCGAAGTCACTGTTCCCACCGTACAGCAATCAGGAGAGGCTGTCTTGTTGGCTCTTCATTCCTCCTGCCTCCCTTCCCCTGGCTCCGGGGTGTCCTCCTCTTTGGGGGGGCAGTGGGGTGTCTTCTCGCCTCAGGCTCACGGTGCCAGTGGCTGGGCTGTGGGACCACGCTGCCCTCTCTCCTCGGCGGATCCAGCCCCCGGCGCAGTCCTCATGCCTCTAAGGGTCGCTCGCCTCCCGGGAAAGCAGCCCGGAGTCGCTGGCCCCCGAGACCCCCCTGTCCATGCCCGCCCTGTCCCCGCTTTAGGCTTCCGCTCCTCACCCCGGCTGGCTCTCGGGAGAGACAAACTCCTGCCCTCGCAGGGATTTGCAAACGGCGGTCCCACTCACAAACTTCCAGCGAACTGCACCGAGCCGGCGCCGGCCGCGCTCCCGTCCACTTGGGCGCATTCCATCCCGGCCGGGGGTCCGGGGTCCGGGAGGGTCCGGGAGGGTCCGGGGTCCGGGCTCGCAATAAGCAGTGCGGTCCTCCTCTCGTTCTCTTGTATGGATCTCCGCTTGATAGGTGGAAAGAAGAAGAAGAAGAAAGAAAAAAGAAAAAAAAGGGAAAAAAAAAAGTAGCTTGTATTTTCCTTTCTCTTCCCCGTCTGTGGTTGGCCCGCCGGGCTGACACGGGCTCCCCTGGCCCCGGAGTCACGGCGACACACAGGCGTTCATTGTGCTCCGATAGCAGAGGGAGAGAAAGAGAGTGAGACAGAGAGGCAGAGGGAGAGAGAGCCAGCAAGCTGCAGATGGGGGGGGGGGGGGGGGCGCGGAGGGGCGGGCGGCAGAGCGAATCCGGGGCTCCCTGGCGGAAGGCTGGTGCCACTGCACGAGTGAGTCATTGCCGCCGCCGGGCTCCGGGGAAAGGGGGACGCAGAGGGCCTCCCAGTGGCCGCAGAGGTAAATCCCAGGCCTGAGAGGCTCAGCTCAGCTCAGCTCAGCTCGGCTCAGCCGGGGCAGAGGGGTAAGGCCCGGGAAATTCCCCAACCTCCACACAACTACTTCATCAGCTGTAAACGTTTAAGAAATCCCCGGCCAGGGAATGTAGTTTCCTACCTGATGCGCCCTCCCTTCTGCCCCCCCCCCCAGGATATCATTTTCATTTTTTCAATAATGTTGTCAATGACACCCCTGAGCACCCAGCGAGAGCTGGGCGAACGTTAAGGAAACGTGCGCTTAGGAACCAGGCGGTGTGACTGCGTGCCTGCCTGGGGGTGAGGAGAGAGGGTGGAGAGGAGAGCAAATCACACCCTGGGCTCCCACAGGCAGGCAGGTGGCTTGCCTACCTTCCTGTGTGCCTCTGGACCCGAGTGATCACAAGCAAATCAGTAGACCAACAGAATATTTTATGATGAAATTAGCAATACTCGTTCTGGGAAAAGGAAAAGGAAAAAAAAGTTTCTTTGAAAATACAAGCGTGTCAAATACAACCAGGCATGGCTATCTGGTTTACATAGGCCAGGAGGAAAATCAATGTGTAGGAGGAAAAGAATTGTGCTGAAGGGGCTAGCTACTTCAGACTGCTTTCCTGTGAGGCTAGGATTGAGGACTGTGCCGGTGACTGGATTAGCCAAAGAGGCAAGCGTGGTCCGAAAGTCCAGGGTCTGTAGTGGCAGGCGAGCTTCAAGAAGTTTAAGAACACAAGCCAAACAGCTCTCTCACACAGACTAGTGTACCCTCATCTTCAGGCGATCCTACCTTGAAGATCCCAAGCTATACATTGAATTCGGCTTGCCATTACTAGCTATGGAGGATAAATTAAAGTGAACACAAAATTGGGAATGGTGGGGACCATAATTACTCTGTGTCATTGAAAATCATTGAAGTCTCAAGCAATGGTGCTTTATTTACATCAACTCTGGTATCACAGTAAATGTCCTGCTTCAAAAAGAGGTGTGAATAGAAGTGAGTGGGTAAAATCAACATTTAAAATCAACAATTTATTTGCAAGTTAGTTCCAGATAAGCTGGCCTACTTTAGTCTATTTTATTTCCACAAATCTGGGAATGTTTGGAATTGAGGACAAGTACACTCTGATGGAATATGAATTTTATACTTTTTCCTGGAACATACTTCTCTCTGTCCTTCACAAGCTAAGTTCCTCACCGCTCTGCAGAGAAAGGCAGGACTCCATCTTGGTTGGTATGCACAGTTGAATGGAGCACTATCTCATGAGGTCTTGATAAAAAGTGAAGGAGTTTTGATCATTTTATGTTTGATTTTTTGAAAGTTGCATTCATTAAGACATTCTCTCCGCTGGTACTATAGGTGCTTTGTATTCCACAATTATACTTGATAAATGAGAAAGCATGTAATATTTAAGTTTAACCCTTATTGTTCATTCTGGCATGCAGTAGCATGGGTTTTGATTAATAACACAAATCCTTGGTCAAGTCCACTATTTCTAAATGATGTCAACTTTGATTTCCATGCCACACAGGGACATCTTAAAAACTTCTCCAGCAAGAGTTTAACACATTTTCATTCTCTATTCCAGTGGTGTAGGATATTCAGTAGCGTGTCTTTTGCACACTTTGACTCTTTACAACCATTTAATTTCCAGCTGACATCATTATCATCCACATTACTATTTATTTACAGTCACTGTTTCAGGCACAGGGCTTGGCATATATCTCCCTTAATTTACAAACAATCCAGAAAGATAGGTATTATCAACCCCATTTATAAATGAGGGAACCGAGGCTCATCAGAATTAAATGACTTGTTCCAGTACATATAACTGGGGGGAAAAGACTAGGACTTGAAGTCAAGACTGGTTTCAGCTTATGCTTTCTTAACCACTGGGTTTACTGCTTCAATATCAGGTGTGAAAAGTGTTACAGGGAAGCCAGACTATCCCCAAAATAGCTCAAAGGCTGCAATTACATCTCAATCAACATGCTGGAGTCTAAGCAAGTCCTATAATACCACCAAGAAATGAGTAGTGAATAGAACTACTCATCTGAATATGAGAGCAGACAAAATTGGTCAATTGTATCCAATTCCCCATAAAATCAATAATTTTTCCCTTTTTATGGTGCTTTCCCCTCTCATAACCCTAAAGCTTCGGAATAACCTTATACATTCTTTCAAGCATTACTTCCCTTTTACTTGTGCGTTCTCTTTCTCCTCATCTCCACTATCCATAGCTACCTAACACTGAAGCATCTAACACTACAGTAATAAATGCCCAAATCTGAAAAATTTCCCAGACATGTGAAATTTTTAATTTTACAAACTATTTCTTTTTAGTGTTATATTGAAGAATATCAATGATGATGATAAAAAATAATATAGTATGTCATAATACCTGTAAAAATCAATTGTATTTTTCAACATTTCTGGTTTTTTAGACATTCTTGCTTTTGGCTCCCCAATTTATACTAATTCTCACTTCCTAACAGCCTTGCTGCTTTGCCATGTTGGCTGTACTGTGCACTAAAAGCCTCTTGTATTCTCTCTCCAAACACCCACCGAAGTAGCTTGCTCATTTGCAATGACCTCACACATCAGCAATAAGGTCTGGATTCCTCATAGGAGGCATCAGGATCGGCATTTTCACCACTTTGTGAGCGTTTGCTACCCGCTTTGTTTGCAATAACAGGAATAATTTCAAAAAATTAATTGCAGAAAATATCAAGTAGTCTTGATGAAAGGACTCAACAATGTGTAGCATTTTATGTATACGGAAGTCCATGAGATGAACCACATAATGAAGCCAGGTTCAACCAACATTTGAAATAAGAAACAAGTATCTAGAATTTCAGTAAAATAGAACCTGCTGGAACATCACTTTTAGGAATTAAAGATACAGAGAGACAGTCCATTTGTTCACTCTAAAATCATTTCACTTTTATTAAATTATGGAAACATTTAGATGTGCAAAGCAATGCAGATGCCAAAGTATATTTTTAAAATATTTTTGGCTGAATAATCTCTCTGAGATCTTCTGATCCTAACATAAATACTTATATTATAAAATTATGGATACAAAGCAACAAAATACATCTTAATCATTAACACATAGGCAAAATTGAACAGAAAAAAAGAAAACATTGCGAATCATGAAAATACATATTATAAAATGATTCCTGAATGTGAAGATTAAAACTCTGAAGGCCTAAAATTTATTTCTAAGGGAAACTTTAGAAAAATAAAAAAATTACTATAGTCTGATTCTGAGGCAAGGGCATTAAACTGAATGAAACACTGAGGTTTATCCCATAGTCAACTGATTTACATGATAGTAGTAAAAAATACATTAGTCAAAATAGAATAACAAACACATCTGGCAGGGATTCAGCAATACATACATGTTAATGTTGGTCAGAATACGTACATGTAGATATTAGTCAGCAATACATACATGTTGATGTTAGTCTAAGTACATTTTAAAAATACAGTATTTTTCTATTGACAGGACATGAACATTTATTTCTTGATTGATAATCATCTATTATAAAGATATTGTAATTAACTTCAAATACATTTAAAAATAATTAGGCTTATGTTTTCTATGGATAGCAGATAAAATTTATTGGACTGTAGAATAATACTTCATGGAAATTAAGATGAACATGTTTTAAACAAGATATTTTGCCATGAAGAAATACAGAAAATATATAAATATGTCACATGATACAGAGAAACAATATCCATGATCTTCACATCTACAGGAATTTATAAAATCTTCTCTGAAGGTGTTACAATGCAAACTTCTCTTCTTGAAAATAATCTGCATCATTGAGATATTTTTGAAGTAGACCATATTTCTGTGTATACAATAAAAAAAAACCTAGTTATTTTACTTAAAGGAATGGAAGTAAACTACGCCTTTTCAATCTACAGATAGGAACAAGAACAATTTCATTTCATGGTAATCATGAATAAAAATACTTTAATATAAAAAGGGACTCAAATTTAAATTGTTAACTCCTAACTCACATAAAGTATTATTAATTCCATAACTTTCTTGTAAACTATGTACTTTTAATATATTTATTGTAGAAGTGTAACAACTTCAATAATTTATTTAAAAATTTGTTGAATGAATAACATATATCAAACACTCTGCTAATGACAAACTGGATACAAACAAATTTGCTATTCCTACCCCTAATGAGAACAGAGTTCAGTAGTAATAGTCCAATGACAGCCAATAACAAATGCCATAAAGCAGACAGACAGTGTTGTGAGGCTTCAGAACGGGGAGCATGGTTAGCTGAGGTGACCAGAAAAGAATGGCATCCAAGCTGTCCTGGGAAAAACCATTTGGCAGCAAAGGTTTAGTGCGGAGAGCTCTGCAGGAGATGACAGTCCATACAACAGTGATCAAAGTATGGGATTTTACTGTGATCAGGATTTTTAGAAGAATCGAGAGAGAGAAGACTGATCCCAAGAGCCTGAAGTCAGGGAATACAAAGTATGAAATGCCAGCTAGGTTAAGGAGTTTAGCACTAACATGACAGGCAATGGAAAGTTATTAAAGGTGTTAAGGCAGAAGATTGACATGATCCAAGGTGTATTTTTTTTTTAAGGTAAAATCCATTATAGAAGAATTTGGCAAGTAGTTAGGAGTCTACTGCAATAATTTAAATAACAAGGACCCAAATCTCAGTGACAGCAATGAAGACGGAGAGTAAAGGTAAGGGTAGAAAGAGAGAGACAGAGGAGTCAGGATGATTTGGGGAGACTATTTGGTGATAGAGTTCCCAGTGCTTACCTCAGTTGGGAGATTAACTGACTAATGGTTTCTTAATTCTTCTTATGAACTATGATTCTTCTCCCAGTGAGATGATGACCCTGATTTTTGTGGTAAATGGAAGGTTCCAGACAGGGGCATGGAACCTTCCCCCTACCCGCAAAGATCTCTGACTCAAAAAGAACAGAAGGAATAACCTACTGACTACTTAGGGATTCTCTTCAGCTCTTACCCAGACAGGTTCTATTAGATATAAGTAAAATTCTCTAGGACAGTGGTCAGCAAACCACAGCTCTCAAGCTACATGCGGCTCATGAGCCGCGGTTTGCCAACCTGTTGACTACTGAGTTTGCCGACCACTGCTCTAGGATTAGAAGCCTATACTTTAAATATTTGACTGCCTTTCACATTATCATCATATTCTTTTTTCTTATTTATTAAATTTATTTTGGAAAATTACAGTCTATCTGAGCTCTACTAAGGAAGGAAAACCTCTCCTTGCTTTTATTACCAACAATAGGTAACATTAATAGACTACTTACTAATTCCTAGGTCCTATATTAAATGCTTACCATGTGTTATCTATTTAATCTTCATAATCAAAACCCTAATTATTATTATTTAGTTCCTATTTTACTGAAGATAAAACTTAGGCTTTCAGAAGTGAAGATACTTGCCCCCCATATTCAACTGCTAGAAAATATTTAAATCCATGCTTTTAACCATTATGGTATGCTATTTTTGAGATTTAAAGGGAGGGAACAGGGTGCAGCTTCGGTGTGAAAAATGAAAAAAGGGACAGTGAAACTCAAAGAGAAGGCAGCATTGCCTGGCCATCATTCTCTCTACTATTATTTTTACTAAAAATTTGGAGTTTAAGTAAAGCCCTTATAGTGCCAGATGGACCTACTGATGAAAACTGATGGAATTGTGGGAATAACAGCATGAGAAGGAGCTCAGAACACAAAAGGAAGTTTGGTGTCATCTAAGTAGCAGCAGTTAGACCTGAAAAAAAGAAATGGGGGACCTAATGCAGCATTTACTTTTAAGTAGGGGCCCTCACTTTTTAATTTGCTAAGAATCACCTAATATGTTAACCACTGGGTTTAACATCCCCAAAGGATTCACATTTAATAAGTCTGCAGTGACGCATGGGATTACAGAGTTTTCACCAAGTTCTAGGTGATTCTGAGAGGCAGTGTAGGGCCATGTTTTGAGAAGCATCAGTTTAAGGAGTGGAAGACAAAAAAACCTTTTAAAGTTGAAAAGGAATAAAGAAAGAACAAGTGAGGAGTTTTGGGAAGGGGCAGGATACCCAATCGTAATTTAAAAATTTTATCTCTGTAACAATATTTTTATAATACGTTTGAAATTTATTTAAAATACATCTGTAAATGGAAACTTGATACTTGTATTGATGTATTTTCTTCACTTTCTGGTGTTCATGGGGTCACCACCCCATCCCAACTATTATATATTCAACTTCCCTGGAAACCCCATCATCATATGCACTTTCTTCTTAACAACAACAACAAAAAGTTTTGTTAGAATTTTGCCAAAGGCATATAGTACAATAGTATGTTCTTCCACTCAAATTTAGAATGAGACATATATTTCCATTATATTTATTATATATTTTGGTTTTATTATAAATTTATCGTTTGTTCTTTTTAAAATATATATATACTTTTATTGATTTCAGAGAGAAAGGGAAAGATAGAAATATCAATAATGAGAATCATAGATTGACTGCGTCCTGCATGCCCCATACCGGGGATCAAGCCAGCAACCAGGCATGTGCCCTAACTGGGAATCAAACCATGACCTCCTGGTTTATAGATCAACGCTCAACCACTGAGCCATGCCAGCTGGGCAATTTATTTTATTTTATTTTATTTATTTTTTTTGCACTCAAGTTGCTCTTAATCTTTAATGTAATTAGGTTATAAGTAGATCTTCCCAGTTCAACTGTTAAGAGGAAAAACAAGAAGAATAAAGTCAGTCTAGGTGGCATGTTTTGAGGGGGAAAAATGGTGAGATATCCTGAGATGATGAAAGAGCAAAGGGGTGGGGGGTGACAGGAACAAACCGTTTGTGTAAGGTAAAAGGGGTTGACATAATAATTGGGAGGCAAGAGCATAAAGAACCACAAATATATAACCATTCAAGTAGCACAGAGCCCTGGCACTGGGACTGTAGCCAAAGGAGGAGGCATCATCACTCGAACCACACACGGACACTGAGGAGTGGGCGGAGTTTTGCTGAGAATGTCAGAGCGCAGTGTCCATTTGGATTTTAAGCACAGCCCTAAAAGCTGCACATGGTTTTTATGTTGGTTACGAACTTTAGTTTCCAGGAGAAATCTTTTGAGATAGGGTATGGACAAATATTTTTAAAGTAGGAGGGAATCTCAACAATAAAATGAGCCTCTTTAACATTTTATGTGAAAAAAAAATGTGCATGTTGTTTTAAATGTGTATGATTTTGAAATACCATCAATGCACAACACTAAGTATTATTCTTTAAGCAGTATATGGCACTTAGCTTTCTTTTTCTAAGAATATTGTTTTTTCTTATTCCAGGTCCCTTCTGTTGTTACATACATACCCTGGTAAGCTTTCTCCAAGGTATTTAATCTTAAAATAGTTTTAGTTTTTTCTGCAAAAAATTTATTGTTCTTCTCAAATACATAATTATATATATATATATATATATATATATATATATATATATATATATATTATACAGGAACAGTGATTTTTTTTGACACCTAGTACACAATTCTTTAAAAATGTGCTGTCCCAATAGATCTCTCAACTCCACTAAAGGGCTGGCAACACTTAAGAATTTAATGTCATCTAGGAAAATGAAGACAGGACGTACTGGATAAGAGATTTCTCCTCCCTATGGCAAATTGGAAAGCAAAGAAGACAGGGAGGAAAGCAATGGGAGTGAGAGAAGCAGAAGCAAAATAAGAGATAAAAAGCTGGAGAGAGTCACATGAGAGAAATGAGACTTAAGTGTCAAGATGTGGGGAGTGGGCAAAGAGATCTCTGGGCAGTGGTTTGTAGTGGGGGGATATTGTCAAAAGGAAACCAATTTTGATGTCATTCTCCAGACCCGGAGACTGCTGAGCATCACAAGTCCTAAGAAGTTCCTGTTTTCTTGTTCTCTTTTTCTTTCCTTTTGCTCGTAAGTTTGTTCTCTGAGCTCTCTTCTTTTTCCTTTTCCTCTTTCACAAATTCCCCTAGCATAGAAATAACTCAGGCAATGGATCTCAAGTCATGCCTTACTATTTTTTTTAGATTAAATATACTGTTATTTAATCTGAGGTGCCTGAAAACCTCCTATGTGTTCTCTCTTCCACATTCATGGGACTAGACCTGTCTTAAAAGGTTTCAATCCCAGGAGCATCCTTTGCATGTACCACAAACAAGTCTAGCAGCTCTGGGAGCAGACCAGAGCTTAGAGCTGCCAGCAGACCTCCAGGAATCCAGTGCACTCTTCAGGACCTCCGCTCGATCCGTGGTACCAAATTTCGTGACCAACAGGATATGGGGAGAGCAAAATCAGTGCCCTGGCCTAAAAGCTCTGCATTCCCCTCAATCTTCAGGGGCAGTGCTCACTGCCAAGTCCCATGTCCTCAAGAAGAGGATGTGGTGGCAGTAAACCTGACAGCCAGGATTTCCCCAGATTCGCACAAGGGGCTTCTTCACTCTCAGGTCACAAGAACTGTTTGTTCTAAAGAACAGGAAGCAGACAAGCAGAGGTGAGTCCTGTACTTTGGCAAAGAAAACAAGGGGACTTGATATGCATATGTGTATATATATACATACACACGTCAGCAATGACACATCTATAAAAGTGAAAGGACAAGAAGCCTCCATGGAGGGGTAGTGCTATTGCTGATTAAAAGTTACCCGAGGAGCTAAAAGACTGCCTTAGAGTATCACCTATCTGGGGTAGGACAATGATAAGCATGATAGGAATGGGTGAAAAAAGAGAAAATGCAAACATGGAGAGAGAAGAAGAGAATCCTTTTAAATTTCACTGCTTTCTAATCATTGACATCCTTTAGCTACTCATACTTAAGAGTCTACTGAATGGGAGGGTTATCTCATATCCACCTTACCTCCTTAATCCAGCCATTTTCTTTTAACTGATTGAAAATTCTTTCCACTGTTTCTTTAACTTGTTCATTCTCAACTTCTTCTGTATTTACCATGGAGCAACATTCTTGATACAGTTTGAATTTAAAATGTTTCAGATTATGATAAACTCTGGTTCGGTTTGCACAAATTCTGCCAATAAAAAATTCCTAAATCAAAAAATAAACATAATTTGGCATGTGATGTGAATAACATAGCAATGAATATAGACTTTCTGCCTTTCAGATTTTTAATAGTAGAATCTAATGCATTATTTATTTTTTTAAAATGAGTATACAATGGTTCTTGTACCTTCTCTTACTTATATAACCCAGTTAACAAAAACTAAGCATTTACTATGTTCCAAGGATTGGGCTGAGCACTGGAGATACATAAGTGAAAGATGCCCTACCTGTATTAAGAGAGCTTATAGGAGAGTTTGGGAGTAAATCAAATGATTACAAAACAATTTGTCAAATACTAAGCACACGATTCTATAAAGATACAAAGGTGGGACAGTTAACTCAATCTAGAGGAGAAAAGGGTCCTCAAGAAGGTGAAGCTTAAACTAAGTCTTAAAAAAAGAGTTTGGGAAGGAGGAGAAAAATGTCTTGTAATATAGATGATAGGAACGCCTATCAAGAAAAACATGCAGGCTGCTGTACGTACATGGCTACTGAGTTTAAAATGCCTGGATCACAATAATTTCCTAGCTTATAAGCAACATGTAAAATTAAAACAAACTCTCACACTAGTACTAAGTACTGGCAGTTTTTACTTAATACTTTCTTCTAAAAATTTTTTGTAGAGTAGAAAATAACTGTTTAATCATATCCATGTCCTTAATTAATGAGTCTGATCTGGTTATAATATTAATATTTTGTCGTTAGCAAACTGCCTTAGAACATCACTATTTGCTACTCATAATTAGGTCCAGAATTTTAAACTGCAAGGATTTTAATTTTTATGTTTATATGGACTTCTAGGATTTTATGATTAATAATACTCATCTTATGAAATCAATCTCAACAAAAACATTTCCCTTTCAGAATACTCTGAATATACGCTTTGTTATCCGCACCTATTGCTAAAATGGGAAAAGTGTCACTGCACTGAGCTAATTAAATATAACTGTACCCACATTGTTTTACTCACTGTAAGAAATGAAACAGAAAGGGCTCCCGGCATTCTAACATGATTAACCTTATTTCATGGAATAACCTTGCTAACTTATGTATTTGACTCTGTGCTTAAATTCACTAAAGGGCTTTGAAGGGTTCAGTTCAAGTGATATAGTAACAACACTGATCTATGTAACTTGTATTCTATTTGACAAAGAATTGCACCCTTTTTCTGAAGCCACATTGTAAGGATTCACACAGGTGATAAGTTCAGTAAATAATCTGAGAGTATAGTGGCAAAAATAATTAAAAGTTAAATATGATAATTGGCAACTGTCAGATTTGATGCGTCACCCTGTGTAGATGATATTTGGGACAGCTTACAAGCTTTCTTAATGTTCAGATTTCTGTTCATGTTCTGTGTAAACCTTTCTGTTTTTCAGATCATTAGAAATACTGTGATCAGGTGTTGTACATTTGCTTGCTTACTCTAAGAATCTTTCCCATTTCAACATTATTATATCTGTCACATCAATTATAAAAAGTTTGCTTGACAATTCCTCCCATTTTGAGTGAAAAAATACCACCATAGTTGCAGTGGCCACTGTGGGTACACTGTGTCTCTCCATTTCTACCATCAAAGTTGATCTTGTTGGGGAAGCCTCTTATTGATGTTTGGGATAAAATACATTAGGAGAATAATGTCATTTTCTTTTCTTTTTTAAAAAAAAATAGATTTTATTGATTTTTTACAGAGAGGAAGAGAGAGGGATAAAGAGTTAGAAACACTGATGAGAGAGAATCATCGATCAACTGCTAGGGGATGTGCCTGCAACCAAGGTACATGCCCTTGACTGGAATCGAACCTGGGACCTTTCAGTCTGCAAGCCGATGCTCTATCCACTGAGCCAAACCGGTTTAGGCAGAATAATGTCATTTTCATTTCCACTACACTGTATTCTACAGAGGAAATTATTTGTACAGAATTTTTAAATTTGGACAAGAGAGAAGGAAAGGTGTTTAAAAATCCTTATTTAAAAATTTTTCCCTGTATGTTAACAAAAGTGTCCATTGAAAACATTACACATTATAGTTTACTTCTTCCCACTTCTAATTCCTATCTTCCTAGCATCTACTTACACTTATGTAGGTCAATAAACACAAAATTACCTTTAGAATATTCCTACACTATTTTCCCCCCTAAAATGTGATCACATTTTATAAGGAAGAGCTAAGCCACTGCTAGTAAAGCTTCACAGAAAACAGTAAGGAACAGCTGTACTACTTAATCTTAGTGCACTTTCACCTTGTTATACCGTATGAAGTAATGTATACAGTACAACACAGTGTCCACTGTAGGATCCCACTTATATAATGTATAAAACAAGTAAAACTAATCTATGTTGTTAGAATAGTGTCCTTAAATGTCCAGAAATGTATTCAGACACTACTTTTAATGATCTAATTGTGTTTCTGGACATTAAGGACAGAATTCCAACATGATAGGCAGTATTAAAACCTACCAAGACAGAAAATGAGTACTGTTGTGATTGTTGTCAGAGCAGATAGGCAAAAGTACATAAATGATTATAGGTAGGCTAGCCTGGTCTATAGACTGATAAATCTGAGGAAGACTGAGTCTAAGGCAGTGGTTCTTAACCTTTCTAATGCCTCAACCCTTTAATACAGTTCCTCATGTTGTGGTGACCCCTAACCATAAAATTATTATTATTTTTAAAAATATATTTTTATTGATATTTTTACAGAGAGGAAGAAAGAGGGACAGAGAGTTAGAAACATCAATGAGAGAGAATCATCAATCAGCTGCCCCTTGCACACCCCCTCCTGGGGATGTGCCCACAACCAAGGTACATGTCCTTGACTGGAATCGAACCTGGGACCTTTCAGTCCATGGGCCAACGCTCTATCCACTGAACCAAACTGGTTTTGGTAACCATAAAATTATTTTTGTTGCTACTCCATAACTGTAATTTTGCTACTGTTATGAATTGTAATGTTTTCCTATGGTCTTAGGCTCCATAGCAATGGTTCTCAACCTGTGGGTCACGAGCAGGGTCTCCTAAGACCATCAGAAAACACAGATATTATATAGGTATACAGGTATAACACTTTAACTCTGGCTATATATTGTTATCTAGTATCTAAAAAGATATAGCACATAATTTCTTTGTCTAGGAATTTTACTTCCAATTAAATTTCTAGTTTCAATGCAGCACTTTGCCACTTGACTTAAAAGTACTTTGCTACTGGAGAGCTGTTGACTGGCGTCTTTAGGTAGTTTTAATTGTATGCCTTCAAATAGAGAATCATTTTCCAATATATTTAACTTTTACATTTTTTCCATTATGAAGCTGGTGTGTTAATGTTCTTTGCTTTTATTTCATGAAATCTCTTATTTTTTAGGTATTTGAGTCAACTATTTTATAGAGTCCTTATTCAACGTCACAGGATATCAGAACTCCAGAAATGGTTCTCTGATTCATACCCCCCTTCAAGATTAGCTGTAGACAGCAAAGACAGGGACTGTACAGCAATAGTTTTATTTATACAACAGAAATTGAACCTCAAAATATTAAATCACTTTTATTCAGAGTCTAGATATATTATCTCATAAAGTCAAAAATCAGTTTTAAAGGATGGGGAAATTTACATATGACTATGTTTTTAAGATTACTTGCCAAATAATACATTAAATTCTGAATTCATTATCTTTATACATACTTTCTAAGTGATTCTTGCCACTCAGATTGTTCAGAGGGAGCTGGTCAATTATTGCCCAGTAATACTGAGGAATCATATTACCCAATCTAGCAGAATTCAGATAAATAGTATCTTTGTATCTTAATAATTGACTGGCAGTAGTTAGAGTTGATTTTGGATCTCTAGCCCCCAAAACACATACACCTTTCACAGATATACAGACTCACAAGAGCAGTGGTCGGCAAACTGAGGCTTGAGTGTTTGCCGCTCTGTTGACTAATGAGTTTACAGACCACTGGTCTAGACTCTCGATTCCAATAATTACAGGCTGTTCTTGTTCCTTGTTATTCAGCCCCTATCCTAGTGGTTCTCAAGCCACAATTTGCTGACCACTGCACCAAATTCTCCTTTGGACCCTAAAGGGGACATCTGCTTCTCCTGTGCCAGTTACCAACCTTTCAGCCTTATCCTCCCACTCCCCCTCCCTATTTGGGTGAGGTGTACTTACTGTACCTAGAGAATATGCATGGATTTTAGTATTTTACTGAATTAGGAGTGAATCTGCTTATAAGACATATTTTTCATATTCAAACGTGTACACTTTTCCCTTTACCTAGCGCTTTCTCCATTTGTAAAAATAAGGTTATCTGTGCAAGCTTATTTACTTAAAATTCCCAAGTACTGAACGCTAAAATGAGAGAGGGGAAAATACCTGCTTATCATATGGCATGAAATCATCAGCTTTCATAGTCCTGGGGTTATACTCCTTCCCTGATAAGCTCACTGAATATGCACAGTGGCGATGCAACCCGCACGCCTGGCAGAAACAGTCTCTAGCACTCTTCGGATAGATGCTCACGTCACAATAACTTCCCACCCGCTCCTGAAAACAAAAGATGTAATTAGGCTTTCAAGGATTAGAATGAGGACAACAAAAACAACATTAAAAGAACGTAGCCAGGTTAAACCAATTTTAGGAATCATAACAGGAGGAGATATAAAAGCAAAACACTGGTGTATTTCTAACTTTAATACTGAGCACACAGTCAGTGTGTGACAAGTGATTTTTTTACAATAGAAAAATAAATAAGAATTTGAAATATTAAATGGGAAGAAACCAGACTAGAAAATAAGTCAGTTATATCCCTCGCACTTAGGAGTTACTAAGTTGTGATTTCCACAAGTTTTCTTTCTTTTCCTTCCTCTCATCTCTAGTTAGTGTTAATGAGGTATTAATTAGTTAAAGGTAGGAAATAATGAGCAGCAAAAATTCAGAATATAATAAAATATTTAGGTTAGTCAAAAACTGAAAAAAAAAAAAAAAAAAACAACCAGGATCACATTTAGTCTCCATTATGTGAATTATATCATATTTTCCACAAAATATTCCAGAAATATTTTAATCCTCCTTTGGTTGATTACTAAAGTACTGGAAAATAAACAGTTTGGAGCTAAGATTGCTAGATGGTCAGTACCGATGTGGACAGTGGAATAGCTGAGTTAGCAGTAAGTAAACAAATAGAAAATATTTGGCATTCATAAGTTTTACTAAGCTGTGAGATTACTTGTGCTTGAGTATTCTTGCTTGTGCTCTAGGCCTGCTAGATATTACTGTTCTAATTAGTAGTTTAGATTAGGTTTTTCCACAATATTTGAACTATACACAAGGAGCATATTAGAAGGGTTATTAAGCCACTTTCACATTCTCCATTAATTAAATATCCAACAGACTAATAGTTTTCTCTTTCCATTGGATGATTCACAACAACACTGCCTTTTGTCTGTTTTCTCTATTTCTCATATTTCATGACACTTCATGACACATGTCCCTCACAGGCTGACTTGCAGAGTGAATAGGTGACTAAGCACCTTCCCTCCCTGCTTTTGTGTTCATCAGGAAGCACATGCTGAGCAGAAAGCTCTATCAGCTTAGTTCCCTGAGAGAGGATGACAAGCAGAGCACTCCTGTTGACTCACACTGGGCAACCGGTATAAGTGAAAATTAAGCTATTGAGATTTTGTTGTAGGCTTATTTTCTTTGTCATATTATAGAATAACCTAGCTTTTCCTGACCAAGATCATACAGAATCATCTGTGTCTCTACATTTTTAAGGCACTCTCTCTTTTTTTTTTTTTTATCTTATACTTATTTCAAACACTGGGTTACCCATATTCAGCATAACCTACCATATGGGGTAAAGCATAATACAGCATAGTGGTATGGGCTTTGGAGTCAGAGAAACCCTAGTAACATGGGGTTTCTAGGTTTACATATTTATTGGTTTGATTCATTATTTGATGTATAACCTTATGTTACTCAATTTTTCTGAGTCAGTTTCCTCATCTCTAATGGAAGAAATAATAGTGCCTTCCTCAGGGGGCTAACTTTGAAGACAATAAGAAACTACTTTGCATGTAAATCATTTGGCAAAATTAAATAAGTAGTAATGTTGTTTTTCTTTCTATTAAAGAATAAATATTTACATCATGTTCTGAAAGTTGTACTATCTGCTTTACCTTCCAAGTAAGTAAATATTTCCCTTTCAAGTAGGTAAATATTTTCTGGATCTGAGGGAGAAACTGGAGTTTAAAGAGGTTAAAAACACCCCAAGTCAACAAGATACCCTAAACTCAATTAGTTTTCTTCCTATAACTGTCTTTTAACGGAAACCACCTGTGGCTAATTTGTCATTAGGTAACTTAAGGCTGAACAGGCCTTGAGAGAAGCCAAATCTCCTGACATAAATGAGGTCGAGTAGCTAATGATTTCAGTGCTAGAAGGATGTTAGGCAACTTGAACCTCACTTATCTCGCCATTTTCCTCTTGCTAATAATTATTAGAGATAGAATGTTAGAGAGAGAAAAGAAACCTTAAGATTCATATAGTGCACTCTCTACTATTAGAGATCATAAAGAAATCTAGAAGATAACATGGAATCCAATAAATCTTATAAATTAAAAAGATGCTTTACTCAAATTGGTAGGATTATAAAATCTTGAGGTGGAGAAGGATGTTAAAGACAACCTGGGCTGTAATCCCCAAATTGCATTATGGAAACCCATTATCCTGGGAGGTGTAACTATTTCACAATAAGGAGTCTCGGAGTAAAACACAAATATGGAAAGTTTTATATACTACATAGCTCTCTTGAAGATTTACAGTATAAATGAACACATTCATGTCCTTGAAAAGTCCTCCAATTAAGTGAAACCCACTGTTTCTCAAACTTTTTAAACAATTTATTTTCTGAAACAACATCCTATGAGACAAACTCCTCTTATTTATTTATTTATTTGTTTATTTCCTCATCCAAGGACATGTTCAAGATTTTTTTTTTTTTTGGGGGGGGGGAGCCCTAGCCCGTTTGGGTCAGTGGATGGAGCATCAGCCTGCAGGCTGAAGGATCCAGGGTTCAATTCCAGTCAAGGCACGTACTTTGGTTGTGAGCTCCTCCCGGCCAGGCCCTGGTTGGGGCTTGAGCAGGAGGCAACCAATCCATGTGTCTCTCTCACATTGATGTTTCTCTCTGACTTTTCCTCTCTCTTCCACTCTCTCTGAATATCAATGGAAAAATATACTCGGGTGAAGATTTAAAAAAAGTGTGTTTTGGGGGATAGGGGGAGGGAGGGAGGGAGGGAGGGAGGGAGAGAGAGAGAGAGAGAGAGAGAGAGAGAGAGAGAGAGAGAGAGAGAGAGAGAGAGAAAGAAACATGGATTTGAGAGACATCAGCTCCCTCCAGTAAAAGCCCCAACCAAGGACCAAACCCACAACCCAGCACGTGCCCAGATCCCCTGATCAGTAACTGAACCACAACTTTTTGTTGTAAGTGATGACACTCCAACCAACTGAGCCACATTGGCCAGGGTGACAGTCTCATTTTAACACATGGGCTAAGCACTAAAGATGTTCTAAAGTTATTCATCACTGAGAACCACTTAATTATTAACTAGATAAGTGAATAATTAAACAGTAATAGCCTTTAGAAGTGGTCAGAAACAAGCAGCTGATTATTTAAGAAAGGAAACTGCTAATAATTGAGATTGCTCAGCCCGACAGAACACTGACATCTTGAGAGGTCTCCCACTCTACCCCACCCTCCAGAGATTCAAAAACAAACAAACCTGTGTACCTTATACTGCTCTTTCCAACGACTCCTAGAGAACAAACTCTCCAGACGAGGCTGAACAAAGTGGTTGTCCAAATAATGAAGAGATGTCAGCATGTCTTGTGCATATGATTTCTGCCTGGTGCCATCTGTTCAGGGGAATAACCACAAAAACAAACAACAATAATCACTTTGTCCTCGTGAAATATTTAAGTAATTGAATACTTAAGGATTTCTTTCCTAGCTCTAGGTTAGTTGGTTAGAAGCATTTTAAATTAAAATAAAATTTTAACGATGTGAAAAACATCATTCCATCAGAGCATTAGGGAAAGGAAAGAACCACCCAGGCCTTCTAATTGTTCCTTGAACACATCAAACGGAGTCTTTCCTAAGTGTCTTTACAATGCTGTGCTCTCTGTTAGGTCCTCTCTTACTGCAGCTTTTTGTCCAAAAGTCACCTCTTGAGACATATTCTTTGACCCATCTCACTTAGACTTTCCTTTTTTTTATCACTCTTATATATTTATCCTTTCCCCGCAAGAACTAATATTATCCTATCTAATAGAAAGGGAATATGCTAAGTGATGCAATCACAAAGATGGCAACGCCCACAGCCAATAAGGAAGGAATATGCTAATTGACTGCCATACCCTCAAAGATGGAGGTTCCCGAAGTCAATAACGAGGGAATTGACTGTCATGCCACAAGATGTCAGCGCCCAGTCCCCTCAGTCCCACCAGGACGGCAGACCACTCCGCTTGCCTGCCTCCAGAGTCCCCTAATTCCCTCAGCACCCCAGATGCCCAGGGCCGGCCCACCTCAGATGGTGGTTGCCCAGCCACCCAAGGGTGCCTGAGGCTCAGGTAACCAGAGCCGGCCAAGGCTTGCACTACTGGCAATGGAAATAGCAGAAGGTGTGATGGGGCATCGCCTTCCTCTGATTGCCAGCTTAACTCCTGCCCCTGAGGAGTCCCAGACTGTGAGAGGGGGCAGGCCAGCCTGAGGGACCACCTCCCTCCATTGCATGAATTTTCATGCACCGGGCCTCTAATATTATATATTTGTTTACTCATTGTCTGTCTCTTGCATTAGACTTTATGCAATATGAAGGCAGGAAGCTCATGTCATAATTACTGCCATATCTCTAGCCCTCAAGTATTGCCTGGCCCTTAATAGGCTCTCAACAAATACTTGTTCAACAAGCTACGAATGAAATCTTATTTTGGCACGCAGATAAAACTTCAATAGAATATACTTATAGTCTTTCTATAGTGTGCTAGATGCAAGGGATAAGTATATAAATATAAGGTATGCTTCTTCTCATAGTCTTGAAAAGGAGAAAGGCAAAATACATTTTCAATACATGTATGAAAAGTACACACACACCAGTGACACCATACTCAGTATAATAATAGCACAGATTAGGGAGTGACAAGTACTATTTGAGTAGGTCATAAATAGCTTTAATAGTGAAAATGATTCCATATCCACTTGGACAATCTAGAGTAGAAAGGTTTTATATTCTAGGGAGGATCAGCACAAGCAAAGATGCGGAAGCTTAAATCAGCATAACTTTTGGTGAAATTCAAGGAGCCTACAGAGGCTGGGACAACATGAGTGTTGAACTACTCTGCTATTTTAAGAGTACATATCCTATATCTTCAAATTCACTGTAAATGTTCTAAGATCAGGAAACTGTCACATTATTTCTTTTGTCCTTTCCACATGTCAAATAATAAACAAGTTTTTGAATGGACTTCGTATAGTTGATTCTTTAGGGAACAATAACTTGAGGGCTCTACAAATGGGTCTCCTTGGTTTTTTAAAACAATGTACACTGAGTAGCCAGATTATTATGATCTCTGAACACATAATAATCTGGCCACTCAGTGTAAATTCTATATAATAAAAGGCTAATATGCAAATTGTCCCCTTGACCAGGAGTTCGACCAGCAGGTAGGCTGGCCAACTGCCCATGTCCCCTTCCCCTGGCCAGGCTGGCCGGACCCCACCATGCACGAATTCATGAACCTGGCCTCTAATGTATGTATATGTATACACACACACACACACACACACACACACACTGAATGGCCAGATTATTATGCATTCAGAGATCATAATAACCTGGCCACTCAGTAATTATGGTTTAAAAATTAGAAAAAGGAAAAACATTATTGCATTCATATTATTAACTTACCATATAATGTTCCCAGGAATGACTCATCTAAAGCATTGATCAGGAAAGCCTTCACAACTCTTTCAAAGTGAGTGTAGTGGTCACTAAAAGAATCTGAAATTAATTTAATATCAGAATCTAGTATACAAAATAATTTCTGAATATAATAGGTTCATTTCTCCAAAGCTAGGAAATTAATACTATAAATAGAAGAAATTGATAATTATTCTGATTTTATAGCTGCCTCAGTGACTTCTCTGGCCATTCAACAAATTCCCATTTTCAAGATTTACTGGCATCTAATCCAAAATTTCCATTGTTATTTCAAATAAATCTTCACTTTCCGAACTTATGTATGGAAAATTAAGAGATATGTTGTAAAAACAAATCAAAATCGTCCCCCGTTCACCTAAGTTTAATTACCAATTTGACAATTAGAGAGAGGAAGAGAAAAAACTTCTATAGGTGGATTGTTCAATATGTACACCAAACTTTTTTCCTTTTCTCCAAAACATGTTACATACAAAATTATCTGTGAAATTGCTACACTAGCCAGAATCCCAATGGCCATAAAAACTCCATTTCCCTTTCTGTTGCCTCTGATTTAGGGTTTTTCCATATCAATTTAGAAAACTCATGTCTACTCTTTTTTATATCAAATATATAAGCCTAATGTCCCACTAATCCAATCTGGCCCATAATATCATCTGTTTGATGAGACAGGCAGTAATAAGTGAGATGGTCCCTACTATTTCCCATTGCTTTTGGGTCAAGGTTTACTATGGCCGTGGACATGTTCTCTATAAAACACAACTATTCCATGACCCAAACAGTCAACTCTGGGCATCACTGAAGATATAGTAAAAGCAGCCGGGGTATTTCAGGAAAACTGGAAGATGCTTGGTAAGGGATGAAAGAAAAATAAGACCTATTATTAACATCCATGAGTGAATCTGAACTTTGCTTTCAGTTTAAATGAAGCAAAGATAGGATTTAACATGGAGAAACTTTTAACCTATATTTTAGTTACTGAAAGGTTTGTAACTAGCTCCTTTTTTAGAACTTAGGGGAAGTTTTTAGTACACATTCTTGTTTAAAGGAAACATCTTATTGAAATACTAAAATGAACAAAAAGGAAGCAGTAATAAAACTAAATGACAATAGCATATTTAGAGGGCCTATGACTAAATGAAAAATATAAAAGAATTTATAATAGCCATTTATTTTTTTAAAAAATCATTAGAACATAATTGGAAAATGAACTAATACTTCAAAAGATTCAACTTTGATTTGACTACCAATATTAAGTACTAGCAGATAATTTGTAAGTGTTAAAATGCACTAAACTTTGTCTTACACTTCTCAAATGATATTAAAAACTCCTGAAACTATTGATAATGTTAAGAAAGAAATCAAATCCATCCCCTATGCATCTAAATTTAACTATCAAATAAATTAAAATATTTTTACCTCATTGCATTTTTATCTCTTGAATGTGCTAATGCCCAAGATTACTCTCCTGCATAGGGCTTGAGAATGGCTACTCTGTCTCAAAGACCCTGATAGTATCTCTTGAGGATTAGGAATAAAAGGACAGAGGATCAGAATCACCTGGACTTTTTTTTTCCTAATCACAGAATAACCTCTTTTACAAATGTGGATCGGAATCTCCGTAAAGAAGTCAAGAAGAAAGCCTTGATTTCATTGTGCTGGAGTGGTGGTAGAATTTTGCTCCTGGCCTCTCAACTTTAAAACAATGTATTAAGTATTGAGTAAGTATATGCCAGCCTCTGTTTTACGCACGTGTGTGTATTGCTTTATTTCCCACAACAAGCACACTACGTAGTATCATGACCCTCAGTTTATTTATTTTTTGAGTGTGTGTGTGTGTGTGTGTGTGTGTGTGTGTGGAAAGGGGGAAGGGGGGTTGAAGAGAGAGGTGAGACACATTGATTGGTTGCCTCCCACATGAGCCACTACCAGGGCCAGGAATCTAATATGCAACTAATGCAACCAAGGTATGTGCCCTGGACCAGGAATCAAACCTGAGACCCTTTTGTGCATTGGCCTACGCTGTAACCATGAAACACACCAGCCAGGGCATGGACCTGTTTATTTTGGGTTGAGGAAACAGATATAGAGAGGATGTAAAACTCCCCTAAGATCACACAGCTAGTGTTAAAATCAAGGTTGGGGCCCAGGCACTCTAACTCCAGATTTCATCCTATAATACTGGGAGATGCAGTTCTTCATGGTAGTGAGATTTGCCTTGAATGCTACTATATTATTATACCTGAGAACATGGAATTTTAGATTTGGATGTGAATTTGGAGAAAATTAAATTCAAAGATATCATCTTAAAATTAAGAAAAGTGACACAATGATGATGACATAACTTATTCAAGGTCACACAATGAGATAGAGGCAGACTCAGGATTAGAGCTCAGACCTCCTCTAGAACTTTACTCGGTGCTTTAACTCCTTCCTAAGTAGGATTCTGTGGAAGAGCCTAGAAATATCGTTTACAACTTGCCTCCACGATTATAAAAAAATTGCAAAAGTGCACAGGAGAAAACCAACAATATTTGTGTTTACACAGAGGTTGATTTTTCAAAGCAGTTAATCAGTTTCCCATACCCAATCATTGGATAGTCATTCTGTTGATTTTCCATGCACCCTTTATCATATGTTAATTCCACGTAGATGCTATGATTTTGTGTTAGCACCATTTTCCTACTGATCTGGCTGTCATTCTCATGTCAGGATTACACTGATCTACTTATAGTAATTTTGTGATAACTTTTATATCTGGGGGGCAAGCCTTTTGATTTTCTGTGTTCAAATTTTATTTATTCTCCTATTTGTAAAAGTCCATCTTACAAATGAACTTTAGGATTGTTTTGTTCCCCAAACAACTTTAGAAGAATAACTTCTCATACTACTTACCACTTTTCCAGAAAGAAACATGCTGTGTCTCTATGCTTCCTGTTTTCTTTTCTATTTCACAATAAAGTGTAGTCTTGTACCTAGCAAGCTATGCTTTTCTTAAGGTTATGCCTAGGAACTTAATTGTTGTTTACTAGAGCAGTGGTCGGCAAACTGTGGCTCGTGAGCCACATGTGGCTCTTTGGCCCCTTGAGTGTGACTCTTCCACAAAATACCACATCCGGGCGCACACATACAGTGCAATTGAAACTCCGTGGCCCATGCGAAAGAAGTCAGTTTTCGGCTCTCAAAAGAAATTTCACTTGTTGTACTGTTGATATTTGGCTCTGTTGACTAATGAGTTTGCTGACCACTGTGCTAGAGTAAGTGGACTGCTCCCTCATTATACTGTTTGAATAATTATTGACAGTGTACAGTGAGTGTGGTCATTTTTCTGAGACTTTTTACTTATTCCAAAACAGTAAGGTTCTCTTAGAAACTTGTGGAAAATGAGCTTCCTGGGACATTACAGAGCTAGAGAAAGAGCTTTGTTTGGGAATTCCTGGGCACCAACTCTGCTTTATCCCCCAGCCCTGAGAAGAATGTGGTCTTGCAAGTGCTGTTTATTTTCACAAACAAGAGGATGCTTATAAATCTTCTCTTAGGTAGATTTACCGGTGTGCTTTCTTCTGGAAAGGGGGTGTAAGCCCAGTGTAAAAGGACAGAGGCAAAGTAAGAAACTGGTTTCTTTCTCTAGTCTAACAGGTTCCACCTCAACCCCACGTGGAGTAAAGAGAATATGAGAAAACTGTGGAAATATATGCTGCATCTACACCTGCTCACAATGCATTCATATCCTTCCTCTTAACTTCTGTATCCTTGGTTAAATAAATCAGAAACTTACAGCTTTTATATATATATATCTAATCATGTTATGTTTAAGGAATGTCTATCAATAGTATATTTGTCTTACTTTTGTGCTTTGTTACACTGTTCAATACCCTAGGATAAAGTTAGTAAAAATATTTTTGTTTCATTCTTTATTACAGAGACTAGCCCTAGTGCTTTACTGTAAGTATGTTGACTGTTGGTTTAAAATATTCTTTGTTATGTAAAGGACATATGCTCAAATGGACATTGAATTTTGTCATATGCCTTTTTAGACTCTATTGAAATTATGATATAATATTTCTTTTTTGACATTAATGTTACATTGATGTGGCACCTAATATTAAACAATTTTTATAGTTCTAAAAAGGATGGTTAGATAACTTTTTCTTACTCTTGTAATTAGAAAAATATTTTCTTCACATGTCTATTTGAAAATCTTTTTCATCAACTTATTGGATGTGTGCCTCTTTAATCTGTATAAAGTGTTTGACAACTCAGTATTTTCTTCTATCATATCTTTAAGTTCCTATCTCCATATGTTAAGTCCATCCAAAAATAAGTTATGTTTCTTATTTAAATATTCTTTTACGTATCTTATTAAAGTTATGTAATTTTTTTTCTTTATATTTGTCCTATATTTCACTCCCAGGAATTTGTAAAATAGGGTCTTTATTTAGATTCCTTTATGTATTATCCTTTCCCTCAGAACCTTTTTTCTTCTCTACACTAGAACTTCTTAGGTTTAACCTATATGTCATTGATGAGATTTTCTAAATTGTTAATTCTGCTTTTTATTCTGCTTTTAAATTGTTAATTCTGATTTTTATTTCTGACTTGATATTTTTAATTTACTAGCAATTTATCCTCATCTTAGCTAACTCCCTTTCATCTCAAATTGTTCTCTTCTTATAATTTCCTATTTCTTTTCCACAGACTGCAAAGCAAATGTTTTATATAATATTCTTTAATGTAACATTTTTCACAGGCAATTTTTCACTCTGAGTCTTCCGGGCCATGTTTCCTGTGCCTTTTGTGAAAATAATTTGCTGGTACTTTTTACTATCCTAGAGCAAGAGGGACAGTTCTAAGATTTAACCTTCAACATCAATGGCTGTGCGGTTGTTCTCAAGCACATTCTGTGCTGTGTTGATACAATGATTCTCTTTAAGTGTCAGGTGGAAAAGTTAATGTTCACTCTTAGTCCAATTTCCAGTCTTCTTGCAAGCATTTCAGCAAGGCACAAGAGATGTGCTTTTATATCTACTACTTGGTTCTTTGTCACTCCGAGCATAAGATAGAGTACTGGGAAAATCATCTTCAGTACCCATAAATCTGAAGGTTTTAATAGTTTTAGTGCGTGAACACTAGATAGATTTGGAATACAATGGACCACTGCTAGCCTACCCTTCTATACTCTATCATATCTTATCTGGAAATCTCAGTCTCAGAATAAATATAGAGAAATGCAGGGATTGGTCAGAAGTGAAAATGACTATGATTTTCTTCCAGTGCAACAACCATGTAGCAGGAGGGGAACTATTCTATTCTGAGGTGTTACTAATGTGACCACCATCACAAGGGAGAAAACAATAGTTCTACATCACCACCACCACCACCACCCCCCATCACCCCCCACCACCTCCCACCACCCTCTGCCAAATTCACTTATGCTACCTCGAGATCATTTAGTTTTGGACATATTGAGTCTGGGGTGTCTTAAAGGCACCCTGATGAAAATGTTTAATAAAATGGTGAAAATGTGGGATTTAGGCTTTGGAGAAAACTGCACTGGAAATAAAGATTGGGGAATTTCTGCCTAGAGACTAGGCTGAACTTACGGGAAAGAAACTTCCTGACGCACAAGCAAAATGAAGGTAGTCTGAGGATGAGACCTTTAGAAACATCAATACTTACATGAGAAATGGAAAAGAGAAAAACAATATCATAAAGACAAAGGCAAGAAAGAGCGCTAGCACAGATGCTAACTAGAGAACTTTCTGAAAGTGTGCGTCATCTATGGTTGGAGATAAATCACATAGCAATACCAGGTAATACAGACAAGATGAAGAGCATTCTGGCAACTAGGAAATTATCACTAACTTTAGTGAGAGCAATTGTTCTGGATTAATGGGTGCAAGAGCCTGAGTATAATGCTTTGTAGAGTTACAGGAAACCTGAACAAAAAAATTTAGAATAGTGGCTAATGGGACATGACAACTCAAGTGAGGAAAGGCATTGAATATAGTTACAAGTTAAGGAAAGCTTGTAAGGATAGAGTCAGAAGAAGCAGTTGCAGTTAAAAACACACAAGATAGAAATGTATTGCATAAAAAATGGATCACATCCCCCTCGGATTTAGAGATGCTCAGTAGTAAAAGCAAGCTCAGAGCTCTTTGGTATTTACCTAAATGTCTTGAAAATGAATGTCCATAGAAATAGCTACACACGGATGTTTAGAGCAGCTTTATTCACAATTGCCAACAGTTGGAAACAATGTGCCCAGCAACAGGTGAATGGATAAACAAACTGTGATACATCCAGACAATGGAATTATTCAGTGAAATGTGCTATCATGCCACAATGAGACATGGAGGAAACTTTAATGCATATTATTAAGTGAAAGCAGCCCATCAGAAAGGCTACATGCTGTGTGATTCCGACTATAAAACACTCTGGCAAAAATAAACTATGGTATGTAAAAAGATCAGTGGTTGTCAGGGGTTCCAGGAGTGAGGGGAGGGTAAATAAATGGAACTCATATGACGCTGTAATCATGCATACCTGTAATGATACTATACATTTGTCAAAATCCACAGAATGTATTACTCAGCCATAAAAAAAGGAATGAAAATTTGTCATTTGTGACAACATGGAGGAACTGAGAGGGTATTATATTAATTAAGTCAGACACAGAAAAACAAATATATATGATTTCACTTATACATAGAATCTAAAAAAGTGAACAAACAAAACAAAAGAAACAAGTTCACAGATACAGGGAACAAACAGATGGTTGCAGATGGAAGGAGTATAGAGATGAGAGAAAAAGGTGAAAGAGATTAAGAAGTACAAATATTCAGATATAAAATAATTATAGAGATGTAAAGTATAACATAGAAAAATAGTCAATAATAATGTAGTAACTATGTATGGTGCCAGGTGGGTACCAGACTTATTGTGGTGATCACTTCATAAGTTATAAAAATCTCTAATCATTACATTGTACACTTGAAACTAATGTAATATTGTATGTCAACTATAATTGAACAATACATTTTTAAGAATACCAAAACAATCCATAGAATGTACAATATAAACAGTGAGCCCTGAGGTAAACTATGAACTACAGTTCATAATACTGCATCAATATTGGCTCATCATACCAGATGTGCCAATGCAAGAGGTTAATAACAGGGATGTCGAGTGTGTGAGGGGTTATATAGGAACTCTCTTTACTTCCACTCAACTTCTCAGTAAATCTAAAATGGTCCTTAAAAAAAAAAAAAAAAAAAAAAAGCAAGCACTAGGTGCAGAATAGAGAAGGAAGTTAAAATAGTTCTACATGCTGGATTTTTACTTTCATTAATTAGCAGGAGTAGATATGGATGGGTCTCTCCCAGCAAATGTTCTATCACATTCTAGATATTATAATCCAGAATGATGGGATACTTCCTAATTGGATTTCCATGATATTCAAATATCAAAGCAGCAAGTGAGCCAATGCTTATGGATCTAAGTATACTAGTCACTTGCTTTCAATACATAAATGCCTCTCATTGACATCTCTTAAATTTCTTTAAATTTGATGTACACCTCATTTTATTTCATTAAAAATCAAGTGGTTAAACTGAATCATAATATACTTAGTTTTTGCCCTTATAAAAACATTAAGATAAAAAAGTGTATCTCCAACAGCCTGTTTCTTCCAGAGTAAAATATCATAAAAACCTTTGAATTCATGTACAATTCACATACTTGAAGACACCCTAAATTTTCAGGGTCCTATTATTTATATTTTCATTAGCTATATGAAAATATGAAAACTTCAAGTCCTGTAGATCGTGGTAAATTCCCAAGTCCATTTGTGATCTGTGAGGTCAAACCAATAACACTAAGATAATCACTTGCTATTGTTACTATTGAGATTTTAAATGATGGTGCAAAAGTAACTGTGGATAAGGCAACTGGCCCCCTAGCATGGAGGTAGCACCAAACTACTGGTCATCACTGCTATCACTCAATAACAAAGCTACTTTCACTTAAGAATATCCTTCATGAAGTAGTAAAACATTATTAATTTTATTAAGTCCTGAGTATCCATCTTTTGAGCATTTAATGTGATGAAATGGGATGTATGGAGAAAGTACTTGTTCTGCGTATCAAACTACGATCAATCATACTTTGAGAAAAAAAACTGAGCTGGGAGCTTAAAGAGCAGCAACTGTCATGATGCATCATGTTTACTTGAAAGAACGACTGACAAATTATAGTGATCTGGTATTTGTCAAATACTTTATCAAAAAAGAACAAAGATCTTGTGTTTTTGTTGCCAAAGACAAAAAAAACAACAGACTTTTAAGTAGAAAGTAGAATTTTGAAAAATTTGTATCTGTTACTGTGAACTTGACAGCTTCCCCAACCTGAAGAATTTTCTGATAAAACTGGTGGTGATATTACCAAATATTAAAAACACTGTGTCATGAAATCTATCAATATTTATAAGATTTGTAAAACCTAGTGAACCAGTATTTTCCAAATGACCAATGCATGATGTTACAAAATCATGCATGGGCAAAAAAAGATCAACTCAAAGTGCAAGATGGATCAAAACATTGTAATGTAAATACGTACCAAAATTTCATTTATATGATTTCAGATTTCATACTATAACTATTCTTTAAGGTTCTATGACTTGTCAAAGTTTTGTGTTGTGTCAAATAAGAATATACATAATTACTTTGAAAATACTCCTCCCTTTTCCAGCTATTTGTGTGAAGCAAGATTGTCTTCATCTATTGCAACAAATACATCACAACAGACTGAATGGAAAACCAGATATAAGAACCTAACTGCCTTGCCTCCTATTAAGCTGGTTATTAAATATATTTATTAAGATAAAAAACAATGCTACGGCCAGGTGGTTCAGTTGATTGGAGCATCATCCCGTACACCAAAAAGATTGCAGGTTGGATTCTCCGTTAGGCACATGCATGGGCTGCAGTCAGGGCATATGGTGGGTGGGAGAGAGGGGAGCAGCCAATGGAAGTTTCTCTTTCTCTCAAATCAATAAACATATCCTACCCAGCCATCACTGTTCAGTGGTTGAGCATCCATCTATGAACCAGGAAGTCACAGTTCGAGGTTTGATTCCTGGTCGGTCAGAGCACATGCCCAGATTGCAGGCTGATCCCCAGTGTGTGGCATGCAGGAGGCAGCCAATCACTGATTCTCTCTCATCACTGATGTTTCTTTCTCTCTCTCCCTCTCTGAAGTCAATAAAAATATATTAACAAATAAATAAATGAACACCCTTGGGTGAGGATTTTTTTAAAAAGTAAAACAATGTCATTCTCATTTTGGGAGAAAAACATAAGTTATTATTCATAAAAATGTTGTTTATGTTTAATGAGTTTACTAATGTTACTTTAAAGTGAACTAATAAATAAATACATTTTAAACTTCTCTTTTGTATTTCTATAATAGTGAGTACTGATAGCTACAACCCACAAAAATAAAAGCTCTTTGGGGTCCTCAATAATTTTTAAGAGTATAAATGCTTCCTGAAACCACTAGAATAAACTACTATCAAACCAACAAATTAAAGTTCAGAAAATGAAGTCACAGTTCCTAATCAATTTACAACATGACAGTAACAGGCTGATTTCATACCTGATATAATGGCATGATTAGAACAGTCATAAAACATTTTCTTGACATTTAACTTACAAAGTGAATTAGATTTCAGTTGTGATGTAGCCAATTGTTCTCCTCGCTGGCTTTCATTCTCTTCATCACCCTCCTCATCTGGTACTACAAAGTCATCCATAATGTAATTATCTCCATCTTCATCAGATTCATCAACCTCTTCCTCCTCCTCATCTTCATCATTTTCATCACTGCTTGGGCAAGATTCCTTTTCAGAGTCCTAATTAAATTAAAACATATTTCTTCAGTAAATTGTATGGAAATTATATTAAAAGATGAAATCCCAAACCCAAACAAATGATACATAGAAATTAATTTCATATATTAAGGTTAAAAAATCATGTTAAATGTTGCAATTTGAAAATTATATATGTAAAATGTTTAAAATAGACATTAAGGTTATAAGAAGCTAAAAACAGGAAACACCATACAGAACAAATAGTCTTTCAATATTACAAGAAAGGTGGACTGAAGCTCATGATAAAACAATATATTAGATACAGTATTGTACTTTAATTAAACGTGTTCATGGATATGGCATTAAAAATAAATTCTAGAATTATAGAGAAATAGAACAGACTCAGCCCTTTCATTTTTATAAAAAGTAAATACTTTTAAATAAAAATTTAAAAATAATAACAAAACCAATAAAATAAAACACACCTCAAAATCTCTACTACTGTTACGTCTCTGACGAGATCTTTGTTTTGAAAGCTCTTTCAGCTTCCGGAGTTGTTCTCGCTTTCTTGCAGCTGCCGTTTTCTCGGGTTGATTCTGCTCCAGCTCCGCTGGAGAACATTCATCTTCAACCACTCGACGCAGACGTTTAACACCTCCTTTCCTCACTGCGACGTCACTGTCGTCACTGTCGCCTCTCTCATCGCTGTCACTCATCACCGAGGACTTTCTTTTTCTCCTCCCTCGCTTTACGTTTTCTTCTTCTAAATCCTCCGCTATTATTCGTTCAGTGTGCTTGTTGAGATCAGCATCCTCTTGACTTGGATGCTTTTCCCCGTCTGTTGAATCAATATTACTCTGATTGCTTTCGTTCTTTTCTCGTTCGTTTGTTGAACTGCTGCCAGTGTCAATGAGATGCTCGCAGTTGTTTCCTTCACTTTCAACTTTAACCTCACTTTCATCTTGGGGCTTTTTATTACTTCCAAGCCCTTTGTTACTAGCAAGCTCTTCATCACTGTCAAAACTTTCATCACTATCGCTCTCTTCCTCACTCTCACAGTCTTCACTCTCAAGGTCTTCATCACTATCCAGTAACTGTGAGATACTGCTCCTTTTCGTCCGCTTCCAATCAACTCGAGACTTCTGCTCACGCTCTTGAATTTTAGAATTACTCCTTGTTTCACGTACCATTTTCACTTAAGCTTCTACAAAATAAAATTATTAGGGATATGAAAATGATAACCAGATTACAACAATGAATGCATTTATGGTACAAACTGTATTTATTTGGTATTACAACATGATTCACAAAGGTAATATCACATGAACTACCTGAGTGAAGATGGCAGGATAGTTATTCAGCAAATAATTTATTGGGCCCAGCCATGCTGGTTTGGTAGTTGAGCACAAACCTACGAACTAGGAGGTCAAGGTTTGATTCCCTGTCAGGGCATATGCTTGGGTTGTGGGCTGGATCTCTAATTGTGCAGGAGGCCGATGATCAATAATTCTCTCTCCTCATTGATGTTTCTAGCTCTCTTTCCTTCTCCCTTCCTCAATATCAATAAAGGTATTTTTTTAAATACAAATAATTTATTGAACATCTATGAAACCATTATATGAACGAACACCTATTCTGAATTATGCTGTATGTTTTGCTCAAAGAGATACATAGAAAAATTCATGGTACTGTTCTTTAGAAGATTATATCCATATATAGAAATAAAACATATAAATATATACGTAGTAAGAAAAATGCAAGGTAGTATTCATTCATTACCAAGTGAATGATAAAAATAATAAAAGTGTAAAGATGTAGAAAGATCAAACAGTATGTGCTTCACTAAAGGTTTTATTGAACAGATATTATCTGATAAACTTCTAACAGATTGGTTATATTTGAACAAAAAGAATGAAAGAAAAAAGTTATTTTGGGCAGATAAAAATGTTAAGGTCAAAACTTTGGCATTGAGAAAGAACGTAATAAGTTTAGTAAATAATAATGTGACCTAAAAGGTGTGATAAAAGGCTTTATGCTGGAAAAATAACATGAGTATAGAAAAGTAGTATTAGTTTAGCAGAATGATTCATCCTGTAAGCAAAGAAAAATTATGAACAGAGATATGATATGAATTGTAACATAAAGGATCAATCAGTTTATATGAAGAAAGTTATAAAGTCATAATTGACATAAAAAAAAGATATTGGTGCAAAGCTGAGAGACAACTATCCACTAAGATTGCAGCCTTTATATAATTTACAAAATGGCAATGGCTTTAAACCAAAGTTAAAGATACAATGTAACACAACAGAAAACTTACTAACAATCCAATAACATAACTAGATTAAAAAAAGTTCCATGGTGAAGCAGAGCATGGTATTGGGAAAGGAAAACAAATGCTATAAGTTTCCAATTCAGAAAAGGATAAACTCCATCAAAATTATCACAACCGTATATAAAGGGACACTTAGAGACAAGATAACTAGAAAAACAGTAACACAATAGCACGTATATACCTCTGTGGTTGCTAAGGAAACTAGAAATATTATGAGACTGACCTCATAATTCTCCTATATGATAAAAGGCCAATATGCAAATTGTCCCCTGGATCAGGAGTTCAGCCAGGGGGCGGGGCCAGCTGACCAACCACCAGTGGCCCCTCCTCCTGGCCAGCCCAATAGGTCCCAATCGGGGCAGGAAGCCTGAACCTCACACATTCAAGAATTTGTGCCCTGGGTCGCTAGTCTTATATGAAAATCAACTGTACAGCAGAACTACCAGCAGAATGACCAGTTGCTATGATGCACACTGACCACCAGGGGGCAGAAGCTCGACGCAGGAGCTGCCCCTTTGTGGTCAGTATTGGCAAGTGTAGTGGTGGTGGCAGGGGCCTCTCCTGCCTCAGGTGAGCAGTAAGGAGTGAGAGGTTTCGAACTGAGAGAGCCCCAGACTGTGAGAGGGATGTCTGACTACCAGCTTAGGCCAGATCCCCCTGGCAGGCAGACATCCCCTGAGGGGTCCCAGGCTGTGAGAGGGCACAGACCAAGCTGAGGGGACCCCTACCCCCAGTGCACAAATTTCAAGCACTGGGCCTCTAGTACATGTATAAGAGTTTAGGTATTCAACTGAGTACCATCTCCTTCAAACAAATCACCCCTTATGAGGCTGATTATTCCAATATTTCTATCATAGCACAGAATATTCCTGGAGATTTTCTATAAACCATAGTATCAAATGTATATATAAATATATGAGAATAATCTTACTTCATTTTTATCCCAAAGAGTGGTTTAAATATAGACTTCATTCACTGGTCTCAGTTACAAAAGTCTGTGAGAATTTTCCAGAAATTAAATCCAATTTCAAAAGATTAAGTACCCTTAAAGATATGTGTTGCAAACTGAAGGTAATTTTGAAATTTTTTATGAGCAATGACAGTATTACTGAACCAAGTTTATTGCTTCCCCCAATGATTGCTTTTTGGGGTGGGAGAAATAACCACTAATTTGTACAATTCTGATGGTTTAAAGGTAATGTGACTATTCCTAAAATGGTAACAACTTATAGAAAATCAGAACAATTAAGATTACACAGTAGAAATTATAGTGTAGGCTGAAGTCTCATCTTATCACAATATACTGCACAATATATTCAACACTGAAACAGCAATTTAACAAATCCCAGTTAATAAACCAAACATTCTGCTATTTAAAATTACATTTAGGTTGTTGCCGGAAGCTAATTCCAGCATGTCATAAATGCAAGAAATTTCATCAAAAGGTTGATGGAACTTGGGGATACATATTACCTGCTGCTGGAATAGCTAAGGGCATTCCCCACACCTAAAGATTTGCATATATTATTGCCTGTTGCCAGACAGCTAAAGGTATTTTAATCTACAGGTTATTGCCTTCTGCTGGCCAAACACTTGAACAGCTGAAGGCAGTTCCCCCAAAACAGACAAGCCTACTGTATACTAAACCTTACCTTTGATGTGTATATCTACTTTGCTATGGGGCAAGATGTGGAAATAAAGAGCCCTGGGTCCAGAGAGGAAGAGAACTTGGTTCTTATAGCAAAGCTTCCGCTGGCTCCCCGATGGATTACAAATTCATACTGTAGTTCCAGTCTCTTTATTAATTTACATGCAGTGCCTTCTCCAGATTCCTGAATGATTCTAAATGCTGGGAAAGACCCCGGCATTAGGTTGTGTCTTACAGAGGGCTTATGTCAACATCAGCAAAGAAAATTGTGTGTGGCCAAAATTACCCTTGAAAAATACATTACTGTTTAAAGTGTTGTTGTTTTTTTGTATACCATACTGCTTCAAAATATGCCCACCCACCCAGTTTCTCCTCCATGTTTAAAACAAATTACTGTTTTTCCTTTTTTTATTAAGCACCAAATTAAGCAGCTTATCTTTTGAAGCCATGTTGTACAAAGGAATATTTTTAAAGCACATATAGTTGAATTTGCATAAATTGTGTATGTGCTTCATGCTTTACTGAGAAATGGAAGGCTTTCTTATAAATCTGACCTGGGAGAAATAATAAAAAATTATAAAAACAAACGACAAATACAGCTTCTGTAGATACACTAAACAAATATGAACAGCAGGGATATGAAAGTGAAAGATTTTATTAGTACTGAAAAGCAGTTTCATATACACTAGATGATTAGTTTACAAATATACATATACCATACTCTAAACACATTTATTATAGCAACATATGATTCCTATGACAATGGTAAAAAAAAAAAACACAAACAACAAAAAAAAAAAAACAAGAATGTCACACTATCCAATGATGGCACGCACAATTCAACTACTTTAAAAAGCCATATCTGTATATTTTTTTCGGTGCATTTTTATATATCTTTTAAAATCTTGACAATAATCCTAAAAGGAAGATATTATCTATCTTTACTTACAAAAACCAAATCCAAGGACATAGACTTTAAATGACTCCCTGAAGATCACACAGTTAGTGAAAGAGGAGGAACTGGAAACCAGGGCTCCTGACTCCCAGTCCAAAGCAATACAGTGACGGCTGCCAAGATTATATTTGTAAGAGGTAGTAAAAATTATGCCTCTAAAAAAGTCATGATTTTTATAATCTCTCAGTCATGCTAAATTTTAGCTTCAGAAGATAATCATTAAAATAATTTCAAGTTTACAAACATGCTTCTTTAATTACATAACTGAACTGCACGTGGGTCTGCCCCAGAAACTTCTGAAAATCAGTTACCCAAGAAATAATGTACTAAAGAGATGAAAATCTGCAGAATTCTCTCTTATCAATAACACTTAGCACAAAATTTAAGGGATTCCCCATTAGGTTAAAAAGTAAAAAAATTTTTGGGGAAAAAAAAGGGCAGCTTCTTATGAGAAAACTTTTATTTTGGAAAACTTTAGTGTTAAATGTCTGAGGAGGCACATTTTATTTAATTAAAATACATCATGTTTCACTTGGTCAAGTTGCAAATTTCCATGGTCTCTCCATATTTCAAAATTACCACTTATATTAATAATGCCAAAAATTCTGAAAAAGATAATTTAAATATGATGGTTCCTCTTTTTAAAATTGTGGATACTTTCAGTATGTTACCGAGGGTGGTGGGGTGTGAAAGAATGATAGAGAGAAAAGGAAGTGAACTGAACCTGAGAGAAATGAGAGGGTAAAGCTAAATTGATAGGTTAGACATTTCTTCATCGTTAGGATGAAAGAATCCATACTAATGGATGTAATTTCTATATATGTGTGTATATATATATATATATATTCAATTTATATATGTGTGTATATATATATATATATATATATATATATATATATATTCAATTTCAGGAAATGAGAATTTAATGAAGTTTTTCTAAAGACACCTTATCTTTAATCAACAAGAAAAACCACAGACACTCCACACAGAAAGCATGAAATAAGTGGATGAAGAGGATCAGTATTATCACACCTCTGTGTGTCTTGGTCAGCATCATGTAAGATGCACATACATGACAGCCGAAAAATATAAGGGGGACACTCCGCATGGCTTGTGTTCTTTCTCAAACAGAGTAAACTCTACACCAACAAGGGACACTTGAATGCCACTCGCATGTCCCAGCAGAAGAACTACCCTTCCATCTAGACTTGGAGGTTAATTAAGTCTCAGGAGAAGATTCCTTCTAGGAACGGCCCTGTGAACAATGTTGCCGACAGCTGACACTTTGAGATCTGAAGCGCGGTGAAGCCCGCGAGGAGGGATACAGTCCTACTTGGAAAACATCGCCTCTCCTTGATGTGTGCTTTTCCGCGACAGTGTTGAGGGGCAACCTTAATAAGCAGAGAAGTAAGTCACTGGATGCATTCTATGGGCGGACACCCGCACCGAACTGTGGCACCGCTAGGAGGAATCAACAACAGGGTCTCGGCTCCTAAGGAGCTCACAATCTGATGGAATCACTAAGGACATCAAACCGAGAAGGCACGATGCAGTGAATAGAGGGATCACAGATCTTCCACTGGCTGGGGAAATGCGCAGCGAGAAATAGGAAATAGAAAGACAGGAAGAAACACCTAAAGACAGGAAAGCCAAGTGCCCCTCCCTCCCTCCCTCTCTCTCTCTCTCTCTCTCTCTCTCTCTCTCTCTCTCTCTCTCTCTCTCTCTCCACACACACACACACACACACACACACACACACACACACACACACACACATTATCAAGGTATTCCCCCATTTCGCAGAGGAATGCCAGTTTGGCGCCCCAGACAGCCCCAGCCTTCCTTACAGTCCGTGCCGCTGAGGGTGGCTCCGTGCCTCCCGCAGGGATGAGCGGCAGGAGGCGGCACAGAATCCCCGGAGTGAGTGAGCGCTGATAAACACGGGCGAGTCCTTTTCAGGATTACAAACCTGGCTCCCGGGCGGGACGCAGGTGCGCGGCGCGGCGCGCCCGCGGGTCCGCTGCTCTGCCTGCCGGAGCCCGAGCGCAGAGCGCGGAGCCCGGACCCCCGGACCGCCCTTCTCGGTGACGGTGACGCGCGCGGGACGACACAATCCGCTAGAGGAGCCGCGCGCCCGGGAAACAAACACCGGGCGGCAAAGGCCAGAAGCCCGCGCGCGAAAGAGCCGCTCGCAGGGCCCGTGCCAGCCCCGCCCACCTCCCCGCCGCGGGAGGACCGCGCGCCCCGCCCCTGCAGCGCGCGCCCCGCGAGTGGGGGGTGCGCCCCGGGCCGCTCCGCCCGCCCCAGAGCCTCCGAGGGACTTTCCCCGCCGCGACTCGCCGCCGGGAGGCGTGGCTCCCCGCCCCTCCGAAGGCCCGCCGCCGCCGCCCAGCGGAGCCCGAGCGAGTCCCCGCCCCGAGCCGGCCCGCACCGCCCCCGCGCGCTCAGCTTTCACGGCGCCTCCGCCCCCGCCCCCGCCCCTGGCTCTCACTCCAGACCAGCCGCGCTCCCTTCGCTTCCGGGGTCCGGGAGGAAGTCCCGCCTCTGGGCGGGGCCGGGGGCGGGGCCAGAGGCGGCGGGCGGGGGCGTCTTCCGGGAGCGTGCTCCAGGGGGAGGAGCGGTCGCTGCGCGCTAGTCTGGGAGCGGAGCGGGCTCCCGCTTCCAACCGAGGTGGGGAGAGGGGCCCGGCGGCGGCGGCGGCGGCCGGGGCGGGGGGGACCGTGCGGGCCCGGCCCCCGCGGGGCGGCGGGGCTGGCGGTGGGAAGGGCTGCCTGCCTGCCCGCCCGCCGGGGTGGGACTCAGCCGCCCGCCGTGCCCCGGGGAAGGGGTCCGGTCGCGGACTCCGGGCTCTTCCGCTCTCTCTGTAGTAACTTCGGGCGGGGCAGGCGGGGGACGTCCCCGGGGCTCCCGGCGTGGAGGAGGCTCTTCGCGGTCACGGTGGGCGAGAGAGTCCTTCCCGCGGCCACTTGGGGGGAATAAAACAGATGTTTGTGTTTCCTGATTATCCGCGGGGACCCGGGGCCTCCTCCCCCCGCCGCCTGTCTTCAGTGAAAGGCCCGTTCCCTCCAACTTCCCTCTCACCTTCCTCTGCTGTCTCTTTGCCAGCCCAGCCTCCTGGACCCGACCGGACCGGACGGGGCCAGGGCCACCAGGTGCCTGGTCAGGTGGGAAGACAAGAGTGTGACACCGAGTGAAAGGGAGTTTCCCCCCGAGAGAAGAAGAGATTTTGCAAGACTGCATCCGTGGGAGAGTGTGGGGAAGGTGTCCCAGAGCCTCACCATGTCCGGGAAACGGAAGCGAGTGGTGTTGACCATTAAAGATAAGCTTGATATCATCAAGAAACTCGAAGACGGAGGCTCCTCCAAGCAGCTGGCAGTCATCTATGGCATTGGCGAGACCACGGTGAGGGACATAAGGAAAAACAAGGAGAAAATTATAACCTACGCGAGCAGTTCCGACTCCACGAGCCTCCTGGCCAAAAGGAAATCCATGAAGCCGTCCATGTACGAGGAGCTGGACCGAGCGATGCTGGAGTGGTTCAACCAGCAAAGGGCCAAAGGGAATCCCGTGTCTGGGCCCATTTGTGCAAAGAGGGCCGAGTTCTTCTTTTACGCCTTAGGGATGGATGGCGATTTTAACCCCTCTGCCGGCTGGCTGACCCGCTTTAAGCAGCGGCACAGCATTCGGGAAATTAACATTAGGAACGAAAGGTTACACGGAGACGAGACAGCCGTGGAAGATTTTTGTAACAACTTTCGAGACTTCATCGAACGGGAGAATCTGCAGCCCGAACAGATCTACAACGCGGATGAAACGGGGCTCTTTTGGAAATGCCTGCCTTCCAGGACTTCGGTCGTCAAAGGTAAACGCACTGTCTTTGGGCACAAGTCAGCCGAAGAAAGAGTCACCATCATGTGTTGTGCCAATGCAACGGGTTTACACAAACTCAAACTTTGTGTTGTGGGGAAGCCAAAGAAGCCTTGCTCCTTCAAGTCAGCCGACACCTCGAACCTGCCAGTCTCTTATTTCAGCCAGAAAGGTGCATGGATGGATCTTTCCATTTTCCGGCAGTGGTTTGACAAGATCTTCGTGCCACAAGTTCGAGAGCACTTGCGCTCCAGGGGCCTGCAGGAAAAGGCTGTGCTCTTGTTGAATAACTCGCCAACACATCCCAATGAAAATGTCCTTAGGTCGGATGATGGCCAAATATTTGCTAAATACTTACCACCGAATGTGGCTTCCCTGATTCAGCCCTCCAACCAGGGCGTCATAGCAACCATGAAGACAAACTATCGTGCAGGTCTTCTCCAGAGCAACTTGGAAGAAGGCAATGACCTGAAGTCATTCTGGAAAAAGCTGACTCTCCTGGATGCACTGTATGAAGTAGCAATGGCTTGGAATTTAGTGAAGCCAATTACCATTAGCCGAGCATGGAAGAAGATTCTCCCTACCATAGAGGAGAGAGAAGGCTTGGACTTTGATGAAGAAGATATTTCGCTGGCTACTGTGGCCACCATCTTACAACACACCAAAGGATTGGAAAATGTGACTACTGAAAACATTGAGAAATGGCTTGAAGTGGACAGTACTGAACCAGGTTATGAAGTGTTAACTGACAGTGAAATCATCAGAAGAGCCCAAGGCCAGACAGAGGAATCGAGTGAAAATGAGGAGGAGGCAATAGACCTAATTCCAGAGAAACATATCAATCATGTAGCTGCTCTCCAGTGGACTGAAAACTTATTGGATTATCTAGAACAGCAAAGTGATATAATTCTGCCTGATAAACTGGTGATACGTAAACTTAGAGCCACCATCAGAAATAAAAAGAAGATGAGCAACTCAAGCCAATAATGGCATTTCAATATCACTGTTTGTAACCCTTAACCTCTCTACAATAGTGGCTTTATTTTGTGTGTGTGTGTTCTGAATTGTCAGACACAGTCCTAGGAAATATGGAGACAAAAATGTACCTGAAGTTGAGGATTATGTGTTTTGCATCATCTGTGTCTCTTGTCCCTTTACTTATGCAGATAATCTGAAGCTGGTTCTGTATCAATATAAACTTCATGTACACATGTTTTCACTTTTGTATATCTATAATTATCCCTCCCATAACAGTGGCATTCCCTACATTTTCTAGCAAATGTTACAGATAATAACAAATAGAGCATTTTCCTAAAATTTTTAATTTGTAAGCACTGCCACAGTAATCTTTTCTTGTGCTAACCCTCTTAAATGGTTATCTGCTTTGTGTATCTGTATGTGCTGAAAGAATGAGGAAATATCTATATTGTTATATTGCAGAGTGATCTATAATAAAATGAATTTCAATAATGAGGAAACGGTAATCTATGAATTATAAAAATATCTTAGAAATCATAGTTCTGTTACATTAATGTTTGGATGGCAATAGGGGAGATTTTTCTGAAAACTGAATTAAATACAATATAGGAAGTAATTGCTAAATTAGTGAGAAAACTTGGAAAAATATATAAAGTATTATATTCATTTGTAGAAAATGAAGTTGAAATTTTGAGGAGCTTTAAGTTATTTATACAAAGGGAATAAATAGGCTTCTTTTAATTGGGTCTTTTATTATGAATTAAATAACAGTAAAGGTTTATTATTTATTCACCTAATTATATTACAAGTTCTGTAATGTTACATGAGCTCCCACCTTACATGTGGGTGACCATCTTGGGAATTGGAAAGTTTTGTTGTTTTTTACTGTGTACTTGATATTGTGAATAATTTGGGGAGGGAAATTGTCATACCGTCTCTTTATTTCATATGAAAAGAAAAAAAAGAATAAAGTTTTTATTTTTAATAAGCCATAGATTATGTATGTCTTGCTTTATGAAGAAAGTAGAGGTAATTATGGAAATTTTCAGATTCTTAAGAAATTCACCATTTATTATTTTGACACTTGTAAAACTTATTCTAGAATTTGTAAAAGTTTTGATATATTTGCTTAATAAATTTAGTATGTTTATTCAAGATATGAAAACACTATATAAATTAATATAATTTGTGATTTAAAAGCAAAGTCTCTCCATATTATTTAATGTTTTGGCCCTAATTTTTTTAAAAAAAACAGAATTGTTCTATATCAGTCATTTTTTTAAAGTTTAACTTATATAAATAATTTGCATTTTATAGTGCCTTTCTTAGAATTCTTAAACTTCAAAAAGATTTTTGCTTCCCATAATTTCTGTTATCTTCATGATATATGTCTAGATTTTTAAAAAGACATCTGTGATGAGAACTTTTAAAAGTTTTATGTGCTTCATGAATTGCCTCAGTGCACAGAGTAAAAGAAACATGAGAAGTTAACAGATACTGAATCAGATGATTACACCTTCTATAAATTAATTGTATATAAATGTACTCCTCATTTTTCTCAAATGAAAATATGTACTAAAAAGTTTCTTGGAATTTCTGCCTGTATTTAATCTATTTTAAAAATTAACCTTGTCAGTAAAATTCAGCTGTATCATTGCCACCTAGTGGTTAAATTAACATTACTGTTCAGCAGTGTACTTTTCAAACTTCTCTAACCTGTGAGAAACTGTGCTTTGTCTTATAGCTATTTACTCTCTTCTGAAACAGCAAACAATTCTGTTTTGGACCCTTCTATCCTTAATGATAAAAGCTCCAGTGATCAAATACCATGTTATAGTTTAAGCAATGTACTTACATAATCCTCAAATTGTGAATTAGGTGGAAATACTGATGTTCAGCTCACACTCTTAATTGCTAAAAGTCACCATTTTGCTACAGGTAAGAATTTAAGCCCAGGTATTTGTCACCAAAGACTGTACTTGTATTATCCAACCTAGGCTAACCTCTACATTTATTCCTTGCTGCCCCTCTCCACCATCTACCACAGTTAACTGAATTCACTTCTCTACTTTCCAGTGCAGTTGTGGCACCCGTTTTCCTTTACCCTTTTATAAGATTAGTCTTCTTCACTGCTCTGCTGTGTCTCTATTTCCCTATTTATCCACAACCTAATAATCGCATTTGAAACTTGGATCATCTGTTTTGCTTTCTAGTTAGCCATGCTCAGTGAGGATCCTTTCTCATTCTCCAGTGTAAAACCCATCATTGGGAAAAATTTTATACAAACACTATTTCTCTTTAGTTCATCAGGCAATCTCAAAGAGTTGGCACACTACAGCACTAACATGAAAGTCTCGCTAAACCTGGAAACCATTATTACCCAAAGCACATGAGCATGTATATACTTAGATCTATGGAGATCAAAGGGGAAAAAAATTAAACCCCCATCAACACGGAGAAGAGAATGAAGGTTAGGTCCAAATAGGTGGTTAGAGAAGAAGAAAAAAATTCAAGGGAAATGTAGCTTGCAGTGAGGTTCATTTTGTAATGATGTGCATTTCAGCATCCTAGCCCCAGGCTTACTGATAATGTGCTGCTTATTCAAAAATGGCCCCTGTAATCTCATGTTTTTTTGTTTTTGTTTTTGTTTTTCTTATTTATAGGATGATAAGTCAGTCAGTGCCAAGCTAAATATGTTTAATCAATAGTTCGGAGACCATTTAAAGAATGATGCCAGAAGATGTTTGGATACTATATTTGGGTGCAAAGATAAATTCTTAGTCTCTGTTTGGCTTTCTATTTCTCCACTAAGGTAATTAGCCATAGACTCATATTCTCTGACCAGTCTTGCCAGATTTCCCCAATTGATGAGCCTTGATACATCTCTCAGAAAGCCAACTGTACATTACCATGGTTCTTTAAATCCACAATCCTAGTAGCCAAGAATTCTGTAAGAGTAGGTTTACCTGCAGGGGTTGATGCAGAAGAAACTTGCTTCTTCTGAGAGATTTGGGTCTTTTGGAAGTAAATGGGTAAGGGAAGTGAATTTGCATTAAATGTTGCATTCAAAAATAAATCCCCATTTTAACAGTGAATCAAGAATTTGTTGAGTTTTACTATATGTGTAAGACTACTGGGCATGGCAGGTTTAGGAAAATTAAAAAAGGGTAGAGGAGTTCTTGTCCTTCAAGATCTTGAAATCAAGGTGGAAAAATAACACTTGAAAAAAGCAAAATGTCTGGTTTAATTGTAAGCTCATAGAATAGCCACCATACAGTGATAAGGACCACAGGAAACCATCATGGTTTATTTTGCTTACTCAATCTTCAGCTGGCTTCTACTCTCTACATTTAAAGCTTTGGTTAGCTTTTAGTTTTTACTGCTCCTGAGTGACTGCATCCATTTCCATTGCCTGCATGCTGATGACCCCAAGTCCATCTCCAGTCACTCTTCAGAAGCTCAGATTTGTATTTTTGATTGAGTAGCCGGGTTTACGTTTGGAAGGGAAGTTAAAATTGTTGCTTCGCTTCCCATCTATAGTAATCTCTTCATTAGTATCTAATGTCAGAGCCATCTAGATGGGCTAAGGATTTCAAATCATTTTTTTTTTTAACTGAATGCCTCATTAAGCTTATCTGCCTGGGTCTGAAATTGAAAAATAGGTAGTCATCTATTTTCTTATCTGTATCTTCTCTTAAACCTTTCCTGATGTACATAAATGTCCTTGCCCCTGGCCATTCCTTCCCACAGACAGTCATAGTGGTTTCTCTTTTCCCTACCCTTGTTGTACAAGAGTAAAATTGAATTTGTTGTGTTATAATCCCAACCTCCTTAAAAGATCATCATTTAAGGTATCAAGGCAATAAAGGATTAATTGTGGTTGAAAATCCTTCAAAGTATAATAATATTTTATGGACTAAAATAAGGTTTAAAGAAACAGAAGAAAGAGATGGATACGTAAAGGGATATTGAATAGATTAGTGACAAGCATTTGTACAATTATCTCTTCCTGAATGAGGAAAATAAAAAAAACAAAACATAAAACATGAGTGAGAACAATGATGGCAGTCTTGTTTTTAAAACTATTCTTAAAAATATATTCAGATGATTTCAAGTTGACTGAGACTAGCTGTGCTGTTTCCATCACCACTGAAAAACAGTAGCAGTGGGAGTCTGCTTACCTTTCCATTAACAGCATTTTGACAGAAGATGACAGGGGTGCTTGGTATTTGATGCCATTCCGAACGTAAGAGAACACGGTATTACGCAGCCAAGTAGCTCTTCTGTTCCCCTTTTTATTCACGATGTCTTTTGTGTGTCTATTTGATGAAGGATCTGTCTTCAGAGTAACCTTGCTGTTTTCTACAGATTGCCTCAGTTCTCTCTCTCTTTTTCTGGTTAATTTCTTTATCCTCATGCAAGATTCACAAAGGAAGACTCTGAGTAGATTTGTTTGGTATAAATTGATACAAGCAACAGAAATTTGTCATTGTGTATGTGAGGGGGGAAATGTACAAGTTTTATTCTATAAAGACTTATTTGATAAGGTTTTTATTGTATTAGGCATGTAAAGAAACATCTTTGTTGCAGAAAAGTATAAGGGTTCCATGGCAACTGATAACACAATTATCTCTTATTTTCATTTAAGTGTTTAGGACTACCTTATTTTTACTCTGTATACTAACAATATTTTAACAAATGAAAATTTAAGGTAATGTGGAAAACTCAATCATTCATGAATGAATGGGAAAATTGTGTTTCCTGTATAAAATAATAAAAGTCTCTTTGAGAAACAGTTACCCCCTTTTAATTTCAGCACTTTGTTAGTATCTTTCATGTGACTATGACATCTTGTCTTTTATTCATTTGTCTCAAATATTTACCTACCCCATCACTAAAAATTTAAATATTCATTCCCCAGTTTCTTGCAGATTTGTGTGACCATGAATCTGAAATTAAATCTATATATTTTGTGATCTTAAAAAGGAAGGAAATCTCACCCTTTGTGA